GGAGAGGCCAGCACAGTACAGGGGCCTGGGGTGGAGAGTAGGTGGGGGAGCAGCTTGAAGCCCATGGGGTCATGAGGGCCGGATCTACATCCAACCGCCTTTGTTCTGACGGAGGCTCCATTGGGGCAGGAACTAGGTCACGGCCTTCTCATTCAAGCCCAGAGTTTCTCACCCTTTTTCCCCATTATCACTCCCCCCACACCCCCATAAAACCTTAATGCAGATTTACTGTTAGATACTGCATGAACAAATGTCTGGGCCATACGTATGAAACAGTGAAGTGTTTGCCCCTCCCTAAGATCCAGTTTCCACCCTTTGCTGGTGGCACGGGCCCTGTGAGAAAGCATGCTGTAGCCGTGATCACACTGAAGGTTCTAACCAATTCTTCAACTCCGTCGACTTAAACCATGTGATTGTGAGCAAAGCAAACTGCTCGTAGTTGATGAGTGTACATGCAGAAACCTTACCACTTTATGTACACTCAGTTCGACTAGCACCACGAGGCGAGAAGCCTTGCAGGGCCAACGGAAACTAGTTACATCTAGGTGTTGCTTTGCAGAACGCTCAGAAATGGAGTCTAAATCTCTCGGTTCCAGGAGTCCTTGCCACTGTAAGGCAGCCCTGCCTGACCTTTGGGGGCATCCATTAAGCAAGACTGAACTTCCCCTGGTGATTCAAGGTCACACTATGAATATCGAGGGCCAGCAACACTGGTCACCTTCCGCTTTTTAATATAATATTCTGTGGCTTTTTTATTCCTCTTTGGGGAGATCCTGGCAAGCCGCCAGTCTCAGGCTCCCGACTGTCATGACGTCCTTGGCCAATTCAAGTATCTCGTCTCGGCTTTGGTTTTAGGACCAGGTGAGCTCCACACTGAGTGAGGGCTGGAAACTCTCCAGAGGGGCTGAGTGCTTAGTGCTCGGTCCCACTCAGCCCATGAAGCTTCATGAGAGTCGCCCGGAGGCCGCTCACCTGCCAGGCACTGGTCCAGGCCCCGAGTCTGTAACAGTGGATTAAAAAGTACTGTCCTTGTCCTCTGGAGGTCAGAAGCGTCCGAAGACACTGGAGTTTACGACCTCTGACAGCAGGAGGGCGGGAGCACCGGGCAGGGCCGAGTGAGGCTGGTTGGTTGAAGGTGGGGGCGTCTGCCTTCAGCCACGAAGGGCTCTCCTCTTGGGTTTCATTTTCTGTGTGTCTGTGACTTGGACAAAGATAAGGCGTCCCCAGACTGTGGAGACCGAGAGGTTACGGGGCAGTGCACAGTCATTGGTTTGGTGGTCTTCGTGGTTACAGAGGCACATTACCTTCTCGGGTTCGGCCTGCCCTCCCCTCATCGAAATGTGTTCTACACCACGTAGCACTTGCAGGTGGAACAGCCAGTCTCTATGTTTATTCAGAAACACAGGTTTTGAAAGGTTTTCCTTATTTAAAGAAGGCAGCGGGTCATTCAGGGGTGGAGAGTGTGACTGAGGAGAAACCAAGGGGATTTCAGGTTCAAGGCCCTCATGGCGGCCGCCAGGTCCGCGCCCTCTCTGTTGCAGCCACTCTGGCCTGCCTGCTGCTCTGTTCCCCGAACCCGCTAAGCATGCAGCCCCTCAGAAGCTCCGTGCTTGTTTCACCTACGGCCCAGGAAGCTCACTCCGCATCTCGCAGGGCCCGTCACTGCACGCAGGTCCTGCACGGTTGTCGCCTCTGCAGACAGGGCTTTCCCGCCCTCCTCCTCCCCATCCTGTCTCTCTGTGCCTGCTCCTCATTTGATTCTAGTCATTGCACCCGGCATTAAAGGACGCATCTCTGGTCTGCCTCCCCTGAAAGGCACCCCCAAACTGAACACGAGGTCCTCGAGGGTGGGGACTGGCCATTCACCACGCTCTCCCCAGGCCAGGGGAGCGGCCAGCACCCAGGGCCACGGCCGGCACCCAGGGCTGCATCATCTGAGTCACCCTGTAGTCTTGTTACAACTTGAAGTTGTTTCACCACTTTTTTTTGTGACATCTGTGAGGCTTCTGTGTGTAACACACTCGACCCTCCAATGTTCTTCCGAAAGCAAGTCTCACTTACTTCAATGTGTTGGAGTCTGTCCGTGGAAGTTCTGAATCATTTCATGCACATTCTCATTTGGGAAAGTTAACGGGAACCCCGGTCTCCATGTGCTCAGAATGACCACTGAGACATTTTCTCTGCCATTTCTTTCTTTTGACCAACTGCAGCCTGAAATGCCTTACGCCATCCACCCCTGACGATCCTCTGGCTTTGCCGGTCCCTTCCTTCTGTTCCACCCAGACCAAGATGCCCACGCTGGTCCTCCCCAAGACAGTCGGCCTCCTGTAGTGGGCAGTCACAGCCCAGGAGGCAAATCTCAAGTAGTTTCTGCCCCTGCAGGGTGAGCTGGACGGCAGCCTCCTTCAGTCACGGCCAAGGCTCATTCCCCTCCCTCACCTGCGGCACCGACAGGCTGCACCTAGTTCCACACTCGAGCAAAGCCCAGCACTGCCTTTGAAGTTTCTGTTCTATAGCCGTCTAGAAATGGTCATTTTTGCTAAGCACAAAGTCTAGAGAAAGGAAATTTTTCTTATAATCTTTTTTTAAAAGTTAACCTTGGTTTCAAACATTATTCCCAGGCTTATTCAGCCGAATCGGCTACACAGAATGGTTCGTGTAGAAGCAGAAACTGCAAAGAGCTGTCCGGTCCGAGGGGCTAGGCCTTAAAACTGTTAGAGGGCTAGATGTGATCAGGTCCACACAAGATCTGAAAAGGCGGTCGTAGCATAAAACTGCAGCTCCAGTAACTTCAAGTTCCTCTTCTTCGGAGGTCGACTCCATGCCGTCTGCTTCATCCTTGGAAGCCGCATCCATGTCCTCCCTGAGATCTGGAACTTCTTCACCCTCCTCCTCCCCTGTAGCCAGGGGCACTTTTCTGCCCAGATTGTTTGGGCGGAGCTTCAGCCAGTCCCCTTCGACCAGCCAGACTGTCGGCCCCAAGGTGATTTAAGACGCCGGGCAGCGTTTCTGCCAGCTGCGTTGTCTCGGCGCTGTCTGTGATGTCACGGCGTTCGCTGCCAGAGAGGCCTGCATCCCTCGGTCTGTGAACGTATTTACCGCTTCGGTACCAGACACACTGTTTACCCCTCACTTCCGTAAGGAGTGCTGACGTTGTTCATCGCCTGCTGTCCCTGTCCTGTGAACCCCCTTCTCCCACCAGTGCGCACCTGTGCCTGCAGTTGGGCCCGTTTCTCTTGGTTCGTGATAGTTTCTTTCATCTTGTTGGAGGGGACACGGGGCCTCGTGGGGACCTGGGCTGGCGCTTGGGGGTCTTCGGCAGACCGGCTGAGAATGAGCACGCACACGTGGGGACTCGGCCTGGCAGTGAGCATAACCGTCTTCAAGTGGACACGTGCAGAACGGTACAAGAGCTCTGACCATCTGTGCACCTGTGAGCACACACACACAATGTCTGTAAGTGAATACACTGATCAAGAAGAAAGAGAGTTTGGCTCTCGTGCAATCCTTTTAATTAGCTTAAGGAGGCTTCGCATTGCTCCAGTCGATGAGAGCACCTTGAAAGTCCCCCGCAGAGTGTGTCAGAGGCAGTCAGGATGCTGAAACTGAAAACTGAAGATTTCAGTAACTGCTGAGAAATAATCTCGGAAACACTTTGTCAAACTATCTCCAGAGCCAAGAATGTGTAAAAACGGAACAGAGATTTAGAGCTGTCTCAACAAGAGCCAGGGCCTGCGGAGACAGGAAGTCTGGGACGCATGATGAAGCACGTGCTGTTTTCCATTTTAAGTACGTAACCTGGTTTTAATCATTTTCCAGAAATGTTTCCAAATTAGAAGAGAGGGGGGAAAGAACCTTTGAAGGATATTAGCAAGACTACACTCTTTACTCCGTCCGAGGTCAGAGCCGGCTTCGCAGCTCAGGCCCCGAGAGGCCAGCACACCTAAGAACTGCGATGTCAATCCTATCGACTTACATACATGACGCGCCTATGCCCGTCCGCCATACTGCGGACCTACTTTAGACGGTGCGGTGCTCTCTGCCTTCTCCACTCACGCTAAGTTGAAAAAAGCCCAGACACACTAGGGTGAACTTTACAACTCAACTTCCTTATGAAAAATAAGGAACATGGACATCTACTGGTGTACCCAAACTTCTGAGCGACCTGTCACTGAAGTCACGGGTCGGCAGACATCGGAGCGGAGACGTCCCTGAGAACAGAAGCTGAGGCTGGGCCACTTCCGAGACACTCCTGACGGGGAGGGCGGTGCCCTTGCATGGCCCGGGGGCTACGCACAACGTGAGGCGAACGCAGGTTTCCAGTTGTGAGTGAGCACAACACAGAGTGCATTCTTGTAGTAGTACTTCATTCCTGTATCGTTTTCCTGACGAGCATCTGTAAACCTACTCCCCCCCCTGCATATTAATTACATATGAAGAGAGACCCCCAGGAACCAAGGACAGGACAGGAATTCAGATGTGTAGGAAAAGAGGAAAGCCAAAACGCACGTTGCATTGGACTTAACGCAAACAGAACGTTTCTTAGCAGAGAGTAACTCTGCGCTAGAGTGTTCTGAGCGAGCAAAGGCCGCCAGAACGAATCTGGTTCCCAGACACGACAGGCACTGGGAGTCTGCGCCATGGACGGGAGGCCTAGGCTGGAGAGGGAGAAGGCAGAGGAAGACAATGACCGCGTGAGTGACAGGGAGACGCAGAGGGAGGTGGCCTGGGGGGTGAGGTGGGGAGGACACAGTGCACACTGTGGCCCGGCAGGCCGCTGAGAACGGGTGACGTCAGCTGCCGCTGCCTGGCTCTCATCTGGCCAGATAACTGGAAGGGTCTTATTTAATGGGACTGGAAAACATTTTAAAAAAGAAAAATGCACAGTACATTTTATTTGTGTTCATAAAAAGAGTTATTATACCAATCAGGCCTTTAACAGGTAAAAACGTAAATCTATTTGCAGAGTTAAACATAGGAAAATACAAAAGCAGACCGAATTATCAAAAAGCAAACATTTTATTTAAATTACTAAATACAATTAATTTCCCTGATTTTCACCCATAACGAGTGTCACCTAACATACAGGCTGGTCTGCACAGAGGTGAGCGACCCCGTGTCTCCGTGTGCGTGTGCATGCATGTGCGTGCACATGCGCACACACAGAACCACTGGCCTGGGAAAGCGGCACTGACTTGTTACAGTGTCTGTCTTAGAAACTCTCACCATTGGAAGGAAATTCAGAGGCAGACTTGATTTAAGTAGCAGAGTCCTTGATAACTTAGAAAGTTAAAAGCTTGTCGTGATAAAACCATCTGGTGCACCTTCCTCAGGAACTTTAGCACTTGACCTTTGTGCAGACCCCACGTCCGGAAAACGGTGACCAATCCTGCAACGGCAGGATCTGGTTCATTTGCCATGTGGTTGGTCGTGGTGCATTTCCGGTGTGTATGTCAGCAGAACGATCATGACCCAGAGGTGAAGCAAAGCCTGCAGAAGGACAAAGCAACTTGTGGATTAGTCAGTAACTCCTGTTTCTGTCTTCACCACAGGCCTCCTGAGCGGTGCGTGGGGGGGCGGGAACCACGTCTCACTTGTCCCGTACTCCCTCGGCTAGCACTGTGTCTGCAACACTCTGGGGGCTGGGGGACAGTTACTGGGTCACCGACGAAGAGACAACGTACAGTCGATGGCGGGTAACAGTTACGAGGCCCTACACGTGGCTCAGCCAGGAGAACGGTCCTCCACTCGCTGCGGAGGTCAGAGGTACCAGACACACATGAAGTGGCTGGGAAGGCTTTTTAAGGGCAGTTACAGCTGGTGTTTGGAGAGGGTTGGGCCATGCTCTGGTGAAGAGGGGGTGACGTGCCTGGCAGGAATAAGGTGTCCGGTTTTGGAGGTGACCTGGGCCCCAGCACGGGACCTGCAGGGACACAGTCCCACTAATCCCCTGGGGGGGGGGGCGTGACAATGACCGGAGGCCCCACCTCCCAGGGCCTTCCCCTCAGCAGTGAGCAACGCCCGGTCTCGTGCTGTGGACACTGCGCGCGTCTTGGCCTCCAACACCTGGGAAGTCGGCCTGGACGCGGGCATATGCTGAATCCTTTCTGAGGCTTTCGTCCTCTCCACCCCCCTCTCCTTAAAAACTCCTTATCTGAAAGAGTAACTCTACCCTCTAGTGGATCACAGAGAAGTTTCTTTCTAAGTATGCTTTTATTTCTTTTGAAGAAAAAAGTGCCTGGCTTAATTCGACTCAACCACTTTTAAGCACCCCATTCAGAGCACTGAGTGGGTCTTTAGGCTCCCAGGCCACTTGCAGGGGCGGCCCGACCAGGGTAACCACTGGATTAGAGCGAAGAAATCCAAAAAAGAGTAAGTCGAGCTTGAGATCTTTTTAGAAAATAAAGCAAAACACAGCAACTTTACATCAAGATAAAAATGAAGCTAATTGTTTTGCCTTGTATTTTTATCATAAAAGGGCTTAGAAAGGGAGGTAACTTAAGCTGCACTGAAGTTAACTTTATTATAGGGAAAGTCTTTGAGCAATTATGTTTTAAACATAGCAAATGGTTAACTTCACTTGCATATTTTAAGGGAAAAAAACTTAATTACCAAAATTGATTGCTAAACTCTTAGTCAAAAAGATCAGCAGCTAAAGAAACTAGTGACAAATCGAACGCGGCGTTGTCTCTTTAACCAGGTTCACGTACCATGTATATGATCACAAACACTCGTGCGATGGGGTATCTTCGGAGGAAAATTCCCAGACGGATGCTGCACAAACAGAGGGGAGGGTGGAGGGGAGAGAAGAGAGTTAGACGAACGGCGGACCCAGCTGTGGTGATTATGATAATGCTTCTTAACACTGCACTTACTTATATACTAGTCCTGCGGCCACTGTGCAAAAGATTCATTTACAGTAGACTGTTAAATACTTACCTGAAATAATCATACAGAAACACTACAAGGCAAACAGACCCTTTACCATTACTTGGGTTTGGCTGTCAAGCTGGTCCCTCCCTCTCTAAATTGTGTTTCTTTAGTTTCTTTAGAACTGAAGAAGTTCTAAAACGCAAGACAAGGGTGAAAACACAATTAGGAAAGAGCCTGGTTGGAGTAAATCTGCAAACTGCTAACGTGAAAGCTTTTGCAGGGACCCTTGCTTCTAAAAGGCACAAAACTGTAGAAACTCGAGTAAACACTTGTGAAGTGTGAGGAGCGATGTACGACATGAGGACCTTGCGGCTCATGGCTCTTCAACACTTTTCCCCTGGCGAGATGGACACAGGACAAGCAAATGCACCTTTTTTCTCTATCTTTCTGCTGCTTCTGTTGCCACTAGCACAATGCCTCACATACAGGTTCTCTAACAATTATTATGGAAGTTGAACAAATAGTTAAGACAGGCGTGCATATTAATTTGGGGGTGATAACTATGGCGTCCTGTGTCCATGGCTCCGGGCACCTTGCGCAGTAAACCCTCCTCCTCGTCTCTAACCCCACAGCTCTGATCTGACGCAGAAAGGGTAAGAAGAGGTTGCTCTTTCATGCAACGTTTCACCGAAACTGTGTTTAATCATACACACTTAAAAGACAGAAGAGTTTAGTAGGATGTTTAGACATGAACTTCATCAAGGCTATAAATAAACTTAAAACATCTTTTCTTTTAAAAGATACTAAAGACAGCTTCCTAATCTACTATTTCGACACCACTTCACAGCGGAGTAAACACTATCTATACTCATTAGCATGTGTGTAAAAATCACGACGGTGGTGGTTTGGGGTAAATGCGTCGGCAGGACTTTGTTTTTTAAGTCCCCTCCTTTTTCCTTCCGAGCAGTCCTTGAGCACCAATCAGTGTTTGGTGCTTTCTTCTAGCAAGTCTTTTGCTTCATTTATTTTGGTTGCTAAGTACGGAGACCCGACTTTCACTGGGTGGTTCAAAATCCTGAATCTCCTGTGAGCTGTTCCAATTGTGGCCTTGCCAGCAGACGGCTTCCACCCAAGATAAGACCGGCTTCTTCCCCACTCGTTTGTTGTTCAAATCCTCCTTCCCAGTAGGATGAGAGGCTAGGGGCTGAAATCTTCTGTGATTACTTGGTCTAGGCAGGGGTGTCCAACGCGCAGCCCACGGGCCTCATGCAGCCCAGGACGGCTATGAATTCGGCCCAACACAAAATCGTAAAGTTACTGAAAAGCAACCTGGTGGACAAATACGTCTTTTTTCCCCATCAGTTTTCATTAGTGTCTGTGTATTGAATGTGTGGCCCGGGACAACTCTTCTTTCAGGGGGGCAGAGACGCCAGAAGGTCGGCCGCCCCGGTCGGGCAGAGGTTTCCAGGTCCGAAACGCACAGCGACCTGCATGTGCGAAAGCTGCAGCACCCAGCGCGACAGCCATCAGGCTCCCGGGCCCTGGGCCGTCTCCACGCCCGGCCGCTTGGCTGAGGGGTGTGACGCTGCCAAGAGCAGCCATGGCGATGCGGTCGAGAGACTGGAAACAGTTCCTCCCTCCCTCCCTCCCCTACTTAATACTTTTATTGACAGCTGCTTGCTGTTTGTTGACTTAAAAAAAAATCGAGTTGTAAACTTTTATTACAAATTTAAAAATGAGGTTCTTAAACATCTCAACTTGACCAGACATGAAACAATTTAAAAACCTTTAAGGATGCATTAAGCAAAACCATGCTTCTTTTTAAAAAACAAAAGAAAACAAGAACCCCACATGCTGGTCACTACCAAACAGAGAGGTCTCTGGGTGAGAGCAATGAAAACCCCACGCCGCACAGCTCGCGCACACAGGTCAGGTCATCGGTCTGTGGGCGAAGAGCGAGCGTTGAAGGTCTGCAGCCCCAGGCTCCTGGTCACTTCTCATTGCTGGAACTTCACGTTCGTTTCTCCTTGTTGGACAACTAGACCGGGTGACGGTAGATTCCAAGCGGGCACCACTCAGCCCCGCCCTGCCCAGCCTCGGGAGCAGATGAACCCCCAGCTGGTGGATCAGCTGCTTTTGTCTCTCTGCCACCTTGTGGTTTAAGGTTTTCTGGGCGTCTGTGATGGCAACCGAAGTTGCGGTGGTACCAACGTTGAGGTGGCTGCTGACCTTGGGTCTCATCTCAAGCTTCCTCATCTTCTCCGCTGCTGTCCTCTCTATGCCGTCTTCGTCCAGGAGGGCCCCTGCGGAACCGCAGTGTGTGGCCCCGATACACAGTCTGTCTCACTGGTCTGCCCTGCTCTCCCGCACCCCGGTCGTCACACCCTCCATCCGGTCTCCCTGCATGGGAACTCCGTGGTAGACGCCCTGGGGCCTCCGCACGTAGGAAGGGAGGGAGGGCCGTGCAGCTGGGCCGGGCCTTCAGGAGCACTCTCCATCCCTCAGTCTTTTCCCCAGCCTCACTGTCCTGGTAATTCTGCTGCTAATTGCGTGGAGGATGCCTGCGACGTGGAGAGCGTCCACAGTGCTTACGGTATAATGCTTACGGTCTGCCGCGTCTTTACAGCCTTGCACGGCAATCCCACCAGGGCCCGTGGCGTTGGCTGTTCCCGCACCCTTCTCCTTCAACCACGTCGGACTCCAGTCCCTCCATCCCCTACACCGTGGGGGTACTTCCCGGAGCTGTTCTTCTTTATGGCAACCTGGTGGACAAATACGTCTTCCTTGGTGTCATCCCTGTTGATGAGACTTCTGTCTCTTACACCGAATCACTTTACTCCTCCCCAAACCTTCCTTGCGATGACCTTCTTGTCCCCGCAGGCAGGTGCCACCGATATGAGGCCGCCACCCCCTGCGCCACTGCCGGTGGTGCCTGGCTTGATGTCAGCAGCGCCGAGGAGGGCGGCTGCTGGGTCCTGGCCTCACTGCTCACAACCGCGGGGACGGTGACCGAGGCCGGCTGTGCTGGTGACGCGGCTGGCGGCAATGGTGGGGCTGCTCAGGGCTCTCTGGGGTCTGCTCTTTGCTCCTGATCGAACTTTAAAACATTTTCTATATAAGACGGATGTCTGCTAGTATAAAAAGTTTATTTACATATATATGTGACAAATTATGTATCATTTATGTAATATAAAGAAATTACAATGAGTACTATTCATTAGTAACATCTTTGATTCTACGTAACAACGTAATGAGATAAAACATTCAAATGGATGCATGTACATGATACTTTCTCAATGAAATGTAATGAGTTTCTAAATGGTTTATTACAGAAGAAAGAGAAATGATCAGCGTTAATCATTCAATAAAATATTTCATGACATTGAAATATCATGAAAGGAAAAAGGCAGATGTCACTTTAAACATCAGCTCCATCTGATGGGACTCACAATGACAGAAACCACTGGGAAAAGTTACTAAAGCAGCCGAGGGTCCGTCGCTGGTCGCCACTGGCAGGGCTCACCTGAACTGGTCGATGGAACTAGCAGCCTTGCGGACTCTCCCGTACACCCCGGCCAGGTTGGTCTCTGCATCGTTAAAAAGAACGGGGACGTTTCGCAGACGAGTGCCTGGCAAACGAGAAAATAATGAACTGATGTACAGACACCGAAATGAACTTTCTAACAAAACTACAGATGAATATGCGTATTACAGGTGAGAGAAATTCTCAGGGCCAACTTTCTAAATATTACAGCCAAAGATAAAATCGGAAAGTAACAGATAAATTTGGTTATAAAAGGTTTAAACTTCCATATCCCCAAAATTAAAAACTAGGAAAATTATTTCTCTATGAAGTTAGCAAAAATTAAAGTTTATGAATACCCAAGGTCGCCAACAGTCAGTAGTAACAGACACTTCACTCCTGCACCAGTAAGAGGGTGGCCGACACCCTTTCTACAAGGCCGGTGGCTCCAGGGCACCTCCGGCCCCGTCCAACTGCGTCCCACCTCCCTACGGTGTCTAACGGCATCTCCGACTCAGCGCGCCAGGGCCATGGACCAATTCCCTGCCCCTGCCGCCAACACACTCCCCCGCAACTCTGCCCATCTCGGAACTCTCGATCCTTCCTTCTGCTCAGGCCAAAGACCTCGACTCCTTTCTCTCTGTCAAACTCCTTCTGCCAGCAAAGGGGTCAGCTTGCCTTTAAAATAAACCCCTGCGGTTCCCGCTCGGGTCGGAACCACCGCCCTCTCTCACATGCATGAATTCAACGGCTCCTCCCTGGTCCCCTGCTGCCACGCGTAGCTCTCTGTGGACTACTTCCGACATAGCAGCCAGAGGTATCTTGTTAAAATGCGGGTCACATCAGCCACTGTCTCCAGAGCCCCCGCTGGCTTCCCCCTTTCTTCAGGAGAAAAGTCCGTGCACAGGCCTCACAGCCTCCGCCAAGTCCCTCAGCTCGCTGCCCCCAACCGCCCCCCACCGCCCCTCACACTCAGTCTACTCCAGCTGCCTGGCCTGCCCGCCACTCCTGCAGCAGGCCAGCAACCCTCCCGCCCCAGGGCCTTTGCACCTGATCTTTTCTCTACCTGGAACACTTCCTGTAGCTGTCCTCACTGCCCACCATCTTACCTCCCACGGGACTTAGTAAAGTGCTGTCTTCACAACGAGGTCTTCCTGACACCCGAAATTGCAGCCCCGTCTCCACCCTTGGCACCCGGCGCCTCCCTCCTCTGCACACACACCACCTGCGCTCCTCCCGGGGTGACGGCAGGGGTCAGAGCCGCAGGCCGCAGACTCTGGTCTCTGTTGTTGACCACTGTTATCTTTAACGCCTAAAACAGGACTTCGCACTAACTAGGCACTTAATTATTCGCTGATTTGGGCAACAAAAACCAAGTGTTCAGGTGTACACCTCCTGACCCAACAATTCCATAGCTAATCATTTATACTAAAAAAGTAAAAGATGTACAGAAAATATTTTCCTCAGAACTGCTTATATTACTGACAAAACTGGCAACAATCTAAATTCCCAACTACATGGAATTCATTACACAAATTATAGAATTTCCACAATAGAGTCCTATGAAGCAATATATAAATTATTGTATAAAATGTGGAAATGTATTTATATGAAGAGTTAAAATCAATAAAACAGACTATAAACATATGTAAGAAAAACTCAAAGAATTTTCTAGGATTAAATCTGTTGAAGCTTATGTTAAAATTTTTAACCATTTTGAATATGTATCTTGGAAATGCAGATTCCACTATTAAAATGATAGAGCATGGATATACTTATGTGACTGTATTAGTTCTAACGTTCATAATGATGGACGATGGTCGATGGAACTTCAAGCCAATCTTGCTGAAAGGCCCCTCTCCCGAACCACCTGCCTTGTCAGCCCCCCCCCCCGGCTGCGTGTCCCCCTATAGTGACGACACTGTCGGTCCCCGGGCCACACTGCTCCCAGTCCTGCACCAGTGACAGGCAGCAGTGTTCCACAGCCCAGTTCATGACCGACTGTACCAGCGAGCACACGGCCCAGTCCTCGAATCTGGAGGACAGTGGGTGCTTCTTTGGATGAAACTTCTTTCCAATAAAAATGGTCTTTCTTTCACTTCTCAACATCATGTTGAATTAGCAAGATAAGAAATTAAGACAAAGATGGTGGCATAGGCAGACACAGCTCGCCTCTTTGCACAACCACATGAAAATCACAACTAAAATTCAGAGCCACCATCACTCAGAACCATCAGAAATTAAGCTGAATGGAAGTCTGACAACGACGGAATTAACCACATCAGTCCAGACTGGTAGGAGGGAGGCAGATGCAGAACGGGCTGGTCCAACATCCATGTGGATTAAATTCAGGAGAAATATCTTGGGAACAAGGAGTCCTAGACTCACATCAGGCCCATCCCAGCCCAGGTTCCAGTACCAGGAAGACAAGTCCCCACAAATTCTGGCTGCAAAAACCAGTAGGAATTGAGTCAGTAGAAGAAACTGCTGGAGCAGTTCCCCTTAAAGAACCCACATGCAGACTCCCCTCTCACTCCCTTTGAGCTCCAGCTCTGGGGTAGCAGCTTGAAAGGCACCAGTGGTACACGGGGGGATGCCAGAGACTGAAGTGTCTGGCAACAAGGCGAGCAGAGGCCATTGTCCTTCAGCTAAACACTCCACTCCACAGGGCTGGTAAACTGGTGCCATATCTGAGACCCCAACGACCGGCTCATGCTGACCTGCTTTGGAGATCCCCAGAGACTCTGCCCCACCCAACTTTGAGGTCTATACAAACTGCTTTTCCAAGACTGGCTGATCTTGGCTCCTAAAGCATATCGAAGAAGCAACAGCTGGATTCAGTAAGCCCTAGAGGCAGCCAGATTAGATTTACAGCTTGGCTTCACCTGGGAATCTCCAAGCCCAGCACAGGAGCAGCCATCTCAGATTGCTTTATAGTTCAGGCAGGGTGGCCCTGGGCAAAACACAGGTGGGGTCTGACCTTGGACTGCATCACCTGGGAAACTCCAGGGCCCTCAAATCCAGTGGACGGCTATAGACCATGTCAGAGCACCACCACCCTGCCCCTGCACAGCTGATCCTCCATGGAGGGCAGAGGTTGGTAGCCAGTGGCCATAGCCAGTCCTTGCAGCTGACTGGCCTGGGTAAATCCCTCCCACTGACCTGCCAACAGCAACCAAGGCTCAACTACAAGAGAAGGGTGTTCTCAGCGCTCATGAAGGGTGCACCTCGAGTACCCAGCTTGGGCGATAGGGGAGGCTGTGCCACTGCCCCTACAGGACACCTACTACATCAGGCCATGCTGCCAAGACAGAGTCAAATCAACTTTACCTAATACACGGAAACAAATCAGGAAGGCTGACAAAATGAGGAGACAGAGAAATGTGGCCCTAAAGAAAGAACAGATCAAAACTCCAGAAAGAGCGAAACCAAATGGAGATAAGCAATCCATCAGATGCAGAGTTCACAACACTGATTATAAGGATGCTCAAGGAACTTAGTAAGGACCTTTGCAACATAAAAAAGACTCAGTCAGAAACAAAGGATATACTAACTGAAATAAAAGAACAATTTACAGGGAAACAAAGCTGAGAATCAAATCAATGATTTGAAACACAAGAAAGCAAAAAACCACCACACAGAACAACGTGAAGAATTTTTTAAAAATGAGGATAATGTGAGCAGCCTCTAGGACAACGTCAAGAGGTCCAACATTCATCATAGGGGTGCCAGAAGGAGAAGACAAAGAGCAAGAAATTGGAAATCCACCTGAAAAAATAGTGAAAGAAAACTTCCTTAATTTGATGAAGGGAATAGACATGCAAGTCCAGGAAGCACAGAGAGTCCCAAACAAGACGGATGCAAAGAGGCTCACACGAAGACACGTGATAATTAAAATGCCAAAGGTTAAATATAAAGAGAGAATCTTAAAAGCAGCAAGAGAAAAGCAGTTAGTTACCAGATGTTTGCCACATGGGAGGGCAGAGGGGGAGAATGGGAGGTGAGGGGATTAAGAAGTACAAACAGGCAGTTACAGAACAGCCGTGGGGGTGTACAGTACAGGTAGGAAATGGAGCAGCCAAAGAACTTATATGCATGACCCACGGACGTGAACAATGGTGTGGGGAGTGCCTGAGGGAGTAAAATCAGGACAACTATAATGGCATAATCAATAAAATATACTTAAGGAAATTAAGGCAACAAAATGTCCATTTGAGGTTCTTTTTTTACCTTCACCAGTGTCAATCCCCGACATATTAATGGAAGGCCCTTCACCGCCGCTTCCAGGGGCGGATTTCATCTGCTGCTCGAGCCGCTCCAGCTGGAAGACCAGGGCGCTCTTCTCCGTGCTGAGACTCTCCAGCATGGTCTGCTTCTGGATGAGGGTCTCCGTCAGCTGGTGGAGTCGGCCTTCTAACTCAGACTGACTGCTGCTGCTCAAGGTTTTATTGGTGAGCTGAAAGGCAACACGTTCGTGAAATGATTACAGGAAGCAAAAGTCACACAACACAGAAAGCACATGACTGTATCTCCACAGGTAAACCGGTACCCACTGATTTCTCAGAACTCTAGAATGATTCTTTAGTTGTCTACGGAAGTGATTTCCAAACTAAATTAGTGAGTCGCAGTATCAAACTGGTGATTCACAATCTGCAATTTAAATAGAATAGAGCCCTGGCTGGTGTAGCTCAGTGGATTGAGTGTGGGCCTGTGGACCAAAGGCTCGCTGGTTCGATTCCCAGTCTAGAGCATGTGCCTGGGTTGCAGGCCAGGTCCCCAGTAGAGGGCGTGTGAGAGGCAAACACATACTGTTATTTCTCTCCCTCTCTTCCCCTCTCCCTAAAATTAAATAGATAAAATCTAAAAAAAAAAAAAAAAGAAAGAAAAAAAGAAAGAAAGAAAGACTAGAATGGACCCTGGCTGGTGTGGCTCAGTCAGTTCCCAGTCAGGGCACATGCCTGGGTTGCGGTCCAGGTCCTCATTAAAGGGGTGTGTGAGAGGCAACCGCACATTGATGTATTCCTATTTCTCCCTCTCTTCCCCTCTCTCTAAAAAGAAATAAAATCCTCAAAAATAATAAAAATAGAATGGGATGTATCAGAGTGCCAGGGTATTATTTTGTGAGACTTCTGTTTTAGTTCTGTACGTTGTAAAAGTGCATGAGCACTGAGACGCGATATAAACCTTACTTCTGACTCTAACACTGTGGATCCAGTACCTGAAGGCACTGATCCGTGGGACTCGGCCCAGACTCTCCCACCTGGGTAACCCAACAGTGTGCAAAGACCACTCCCTCCCTCCCCCCGAGGCCTCATCCCTGATCTGCAATTTCCTAGCTCTCCGACTTTGGACAAATGGCTGCACCTCTGCGAATCGGTTTCCTCATGAGCAACAGTGTCTGCTACACCGGGTACTTAGGGACGCAGTATTAAGTGAGAATTCTCCTGGCAGGTTCTGGCTGGCAGTTGGTTCTGACCTCCTTCATTCCATCTTCTGTTTGTTCCAATCTGCCACCATTTCCCCCATTCAGCTTCCGCTCTGCTGTCCGTACCTTCTTCCCCATTTGGAAAATTCAGTCCCCTCCTCTTACCTAGGCTCTACCTGCCATTGAAGCCTCTTCCCTGAAGCCCCTTCCAACTACTCTAGTCCAGGCTGACCTTGGCCTCTCTTAAGAGTCCCACTAATTGTCTTGTTATCTATCAGTCACTCTGAGACCATCATTTAAAGGAGTCGATTTTGCCTACTCAATGGAACTGTAAGCTCTGTGAGGGCAAGTATCATTCCCTGCAAGGACGCGGTTTTGAAAAGGCTACTAGATCCATCTACGTTTAAACCCCCAGCTCTGCCACGTCCCAGCCACAGTGTGGGGCAAACTACAAATCGGAGCTTCAGTTTCCTTGCTCAAAGGAGGTGATGACTAAATGAAGTTATATACATTCAGTATACTATCTGCCATATAGTAGGCAGTTAACTCAGCTTCCTTCCTTCTGAATTCCTTCCAGTGTGCCCACAAATTACATGCAAGGCTGGCGCCACAACATATTACTGACTGGAATGATCCTGAGTAAGATGTACTTACTATTACACAGGAACGCTCAATTTTAAGATTATACTGTTAACCCCTAATGGGCTAGCTCAATACTTCAGCACTTTTTTTTATCCTCCCCCCGAGGACATTTTTTCAATGCTTTCAGAGAAAGAGGAAGGGAGGGAGGGAAGTACTGATGCTAGACAGAAGCATCAATTAGTTGCCTCCCATATGTGCTTGGTCTGGGGAGCAACCCTGCAACTCAGGCATGCGCCCTGACCAGGAATCGAACCAGCAACCTTTTAGTTACAGGGCGATGCACCGACCAACTGAGCCACACCATCCAGGGCAATAATTCAGTATTTTGTTGGTTGAGGTAAAATTTACATACAAGTGGAATACCCAGATCTTAAGCACACGGTGAGTTTGGACAAATGTGTAACTGTGTAACCAACACCCAGATGAAAATACAAAGTATTCCCATCACTCCCAGACAACCACCGCTCTAATTTCTATCGCCAGAATTTTGTTTTACTTATTCTGGAATTTCTTATAAATGCAAACCTGAACAGGAACACTTTGTGTAGCTTTTTTTAAAAAAAAAGACTTATCCAAATAGTTGTATCGGGAGTTGGTTTCTTTTTATTGCTGAGTAGCCTGCAATCTGTTTACCCAACTACTTGCTGACAGGCATTTTAGTCATCTCCGGGTTTGGCTGTTTGTGAACAAACCCATTACAATCATCCTTTGTGCAAGTCTTCCTGTGGACATAAGGCTTCATTTGTACCGAGCGAATATATGGAATCAGAAGTCAGATGTGTGTTCACCTAATCAGCAACAGTGTTCCAAAAAGGAGGGTTCTAACCGCACCACAATGCGCACTGCCGACCTTGACTTTGGCCATTATGGAGGATGTGCAGTGGTGTTTCTCACGGAGGATTTACTCTGTACTTCCCTGATGACTGATGGTTCTAAGCACCTATTCATTAGGTGCTTATTTGGCTGCTCAATATTCTTTTGTCAAGTGTCTATCCAAGATATTTTGCCAATTAAAAAAAAAATTCGTTGTGAGGCCCTGACTGGGCAGCTCAGTTTGGTAGAGCATCACACCCACACGCCAAGTCTGTGGATTTGATCCCCGGTCAGGGCACATACAAAAATCAACCAATGAATGCATAAATAAGCAGAACTACAAATTTTTCTCTCTCTCAAATCCATAAACTAAAAAAAAATTAGTTGTATATATTATGGTAGTAAGAGTTGCTTCCTGGTTATGAATCCCTTCTCAGACATACGTATTATAAATATCGGCCCCCAGACTGTGTCCAACCTCTTTTCATTTCCCTAATGGGGTCTTTTGATGAGCAGAAATTTTAATTATCACGAAGTCCAATTTTGACTTTTTTTTCCTATGATATTTTTATGTCATCTTAAAAAAATCTGTCTTCCTCAAAGTGCGAAAGATTCCTATTTGTTTTTAAAAGGATTTTATTTATTTTTAGACAGAGGGAAAGGGAGGAAGAGAGGGAGAGAAACATCAATGTGTGGTTGCCTCTCATGCACCCCCTACTGGGGACCTGGCCCACAACCCAGGCGTGTGCCCTGACTGGGAATCAAACTGGTGACGGTTTGGTTGACAGGCCGGCACTCAATCCACTGAGCCACACCAGCCAGAGGAGCTTCCTATATTTTCTTCTAGAAGCTTTAGAACTTAGGCCAAGCCCCAGCCCAAATTAGTTTCCCAAATTAGTTTTTGTTAATTTTACAAGTCTAAATAGGGAATAAAGATCAAGGTTCATCTTTTTCCACTTTTTAAAAAGATTTTATTTATATTCACTTTTAGAGAGAAGGAAAGGGAGGGAGAAAGAGGGGGAGAGAAACATTGATGTGTGAGAGATACATCGATCGGTTTTGCCTCTTACACGCCCCCAGCTGAGGACCTGGTCTACAACCCTGGCATGTGACGGGACTGGAAATCAAACCTGTGACCTTGTAATTCAAAGGCCAGCACTCAATTGCCTGAGCCACACCAGCCAGGGATGTTTTTATCTAGTCCCATACAATAGTATTTAAAGAATAAAAAACTGGCAGTGTAATTTTTTTTTTAACCAAGATATTTTCCTTCTAACCCTGACCAGCGTGGCTCAGTTGGTTGAGTTTCATCCTGCAAAGTAAAAGATCGCTGGTTCGATTCCCAGTCAAGGCATATGCCTGGGTTGCAGGCCCAGTCCCCAGTTGGAGGTGTGCAAGAGGCAATTGGTCATTTCTCTTTTTCTCTCACACATTAATGTTTCTCTCCCTCGCGTTCTCCCTCCCTTCCCTTCTATGTAAAAAATAAATAAAATCTTTTAAATTTTTAAAATTTATTGATTGCTTGATTTTATATATAGAGAGAGAGGAAGACAGGCCATGGGAGGGAGAAAGAAAGAATCATCTATTTGTTGTTCCATTTAATTAATGCATTCATTGGCTGCTTCGTATATGTGCCCAGACCAGGGATCAAACCTGCAAACCTGGTGTTTGGGGACTGTGCTCCAACCACCTGAGCTACCGGCCAAGGCTCTGGTTAACAAAAATGGCATAATTCCTTACACAGAGTAGGCACCTAATAAATATTCAATCAATACTGGAATATTTATCTAGGGGTTAAACTAACTGGTGGCACGCTCCTTTCTTTTCTTTGACTTTCTGCTAGCAAGTCATCTGACCATCTGCCAGCATTTCCCAAATGTGAGCAAAGGAGAAGGGAAGACTCAAGTCGGTCCCTCGCTCTGAAATTACAACAGAGTAAAACACCTTAAGTTATGGACTACTATGAAGTCTGAGAACTTAAAAAAACAAAATTAGACTTTTCATGCCCAAACTAAGTCATTAGCTTACTAAAAAAATGAAGAACTAATCAATCTTTAGGCACATTATTTAAATCATCAGTGAGTGCATTATTTATTAAGCCAATCATCTGAAGAGAAGGTAAGAAGGGGCAACCTACAACTAGAGCGCACGCGAACTCGTGATTCTGTCCGTTAATGATAAAGACTGGTCAACCTAGGCCTGTGCTTTTTTCTGCATGTTTTCCATTTCCAGAGTTAAAAAGAGGTCTTGCTGACTTTATGAAAGACCCACCGATTGTTAATAGGAAGATTTCTCATTGGACTTTCCTTAGGAAAGAGAAACCACATTTATGAAAATGGCATCAGCACAACCCCAATGAAGCCAGAAGGCACAAGGTGTTGGCCTCCTCGAGTGACTCTGGCCACCCGGAGCCGTGAGAAGCGAGCCATAGAAACGACAAATGCAGGCTCCGATGGCATCAGATGAAAATTCTGTGTCAGGCTGAAAATAGCAGCTTATTACTGCAACAAGAAAACTCAGGTGAAAACAGGGAAAAAGAAGGTCTCACTGTGTTCTCTAGGGAAAAAAGCAGCTTTATACGGTGTCTCTGCCCAAGCGGTAAAAGCTGATGCATACCTGATTCCTAAGTTTTTGAATTTCTTCTTCTCGATCTTTAATTCTGCTTTGCAGTGTGTTCTTTGTTCGATACATATCTTCTTCTATGTAATGGAATTCCTACAAAGCAAGGCACAAAGTTAAAACAGCAGAAGTTAAAACAGCGCTCCCCAGTCCACCCCCAGCACCTGAACAGTGCCTGACTCCCAGCAGACACGCGGCCCACACGTGTTGAGTGTACACTGAAGGAGTGAACGAGCAGACTCGGAGGGTCTGATGGAAAGTTCATGCTCAGCATGATGCGTGACTGGGTATGTGGAAGCCTAAGCACAAGTCTTTACGTGTCGTGTGTTTTCATTGTTCTAGAACCACTGCTGGATCATATGAGAAGTGTAAGCCTAACTTAAAGGAAGAAAACCTGCAAATTGTTTTCTGAACTGTTTTCAAAATGCCTGCACCACTTCGCATTCCTACAGCAACAGGACAGCGTTCCCCTTCTTCCACATCCTTCCCGACATACAGCGCTGTCAGTCTCTTCAAATGTAGCTAATCTAGCTGGGCGTGTAGTGCTATCTCAGAGGTTCCAACTTGCATTTCCCTAATGATTAATGACGTTGAGCAGCTTTTCATGTGCTTATTTGTAACAGGCAATATCTTGTACCTCTTTTGCATGGTCAGCAATAAAAGCAAGTGAGAGAGAAAGGCAAGGAAATACCTCCGGACTCACTAACCACTGCACTAGAGCACTGCTAGTCTGTACAATGGACATGATCATTCAGAGTCAAGCCAGAGCTTAAGAACAAAGCACATTCCAGGAAACAAAGTAATTAATTAGCTAAGTACCTTCAAAAGCATTATGGAGCATAGGGAATATAGTCAATATCGTCGTTAATACCTTTGCATGGTGACAGATGGTAAATGGACTTACCACGAGGATAATTTCGTAATGTATATAAATATCAAATCACTATAACGTACACCTGAAACAGGCTATTGTATGTCAATTAAATATCAAATTATAAAAGCATTATGCTTAATTGTGCTGACCAGTAAGGTAGCTGTATGAAAACATAAATGTAACATGGAATTAAACTGCTAGAGCCTAACTTTAGACATTAGTACAATCTGTGTATTTCATAAACTGTCAGAACTGACATAACTGAAAAAGAGAAAATGAGGAAGGTAATTAGGGTAGGAGAATAACAATTTACAGAGGGTGTGCCTGATTCTGAAGCTCTAGGCTAGCAAAAAATTTAAGGCTGAAATTACCTAAATTGATAAAGAGCACCACAGGACAGTTAATCCTACGATTAAGTACTTTCCATCTAGAACATCTGACTTCTAAGTAAATAGCCTGTAGCTACATTTGCTCCACTTGCCTCTACTTAACTCCCCCTCATTTTAAAAAAGGCACTGGAAGTGAATGTGATTAAAACCATTTACCATAATAAGATAAAAATTATCTAACCATCAAGAACATCAATTTTTTCCCTTTTAATATATAATAGCTTCTTGAATAAATTAAAATGCAATTTCTGAAAGGACAGCTAACCTTACAATTAAATTAAGAGAGCCCATGATGTACCCTGCAGGTTGCTACTCAGTGAGTTTTTCTCTTAATATGCAGGAAGCAGGTGTAAGTGTGAACGAGTATTTCTCTAAGAATCAAAACGGTTCCAGAAATAATCCTAATGAAACAAAATCCTTAAATGACAAAAATACACAAAGTTGAAATCATTTTCTCTTCAGCAAAATAAACAGAATAGTGATTTTATTGTGTGAATGAAATAAGATAACATAAATTAAGTGCCTGTATAACAATGTGTTACTTGGCAAATTATAGATGCTATTAATGTTAGATATAGAATCTTATTCTGAAAATGCAGCTTAAACACGTTTAATTGTGTTGATACTGCAACTATTACATAAGTATATTAAAGTTAAAGAATTCAGCTTGGGGAGCAGACAACTGCTAATTGAACAATGAAGTATAATCTTAACCATGATTTGTAAACATAATCTGTACAAGCACTTTTTTCTCAAAAAGAAAAAGTAGTCTAATATGGCTCTGATGTATTTTTATTTCTGTTAACTAGTATTTACTGTTGTTCCCAGAAAGTACAAATGTACAAAAACTTGAAAATCAACTGATGTTTTTAAGTTTTCCATACACATATACTCTGACAAGGAGATAAAATACAAAGAGACTGGTAGAAAAAACCCAGAGACAGACATCTCCGTTCTATTCTGTGATCAATTCTATGAAATTAGGCAAATGCCGTAACAATTTGGTGCCTCTATTTTGCAGCTGTTAAAACAAACGAGGACCGTGGCACAGTAACAAGGCCGGCGGAACCTGCATCCTGTCCACCTTAACCCCTGGGCCCGCCCGTAAGAACGCCAGCGAGCTGCTTCCCCTGGGAGCGTCCCCACGTGACCCAGCAGACAGAGCCTTCTCTGGTAACCATCGATCTAGGATCCTCACCTGCTTCTGTCGGTCCAGTTCTGCCTCTAATTCTTGTTTGGATGCCTTATGTCCAGCTATCTGGTCTTGCAGATCTTGCAACTGCTCTCTTGCTGACTCTGCTTCACTAACTTGCTGAGCCTCCATATCCTGAAAAGACGAAACTTCCATGTGAAAGCAACCATAACTATTCAGCCACCCGCACTGAGCAATCACCGCACACTGCGAACTGGGGTCAGCGGGCCCTGGAGGGACAGAGGGGAATGAGACACCGTCTCAGCCTCAAAGGAGTATGTGAACCGACACCTCATTATACAACACGGCAGAGGTGACAGCGATGAACAGGGCACTGTAGCTGCCATGGCACTTAAACCATTTGGTTGACGAAGTACAAGTAGACAGTAAGCCACTGGGAGATCAAGATCCGTATTCGAAAGCTAACCATTTCAAAAAGACCTGAAATATGACATCAAAAGGATGTCACTAGTCCCCTGCCACTGCAGGTTGTGATTAGCTTTTGTGTTTGTGTGCACAAGTAACCAACAGACAGTAAAAACATAACTTTCTCTCATATCACCTGAGATTAGCATATTATTAGACTTTTTGAGCTTTATTGCTATTATATTTTTGTATCTGGGCCCATGTATCTTGCTCAAACTTCTTCAGCAGGTGTCACTACTCTGTTTCTCAAACTTAAACACCACCCTCTGGATTTCCTGTGAAAACATAGCCCTGGGTTTCTGTATTACCTTAAAAAAAAGATTGTTTATTTATTTGTTTTGAGAGAGAGGAGTAGGGAGGAAGAGGGAGAGAAACATCAATGTGTGGTTGCCTCTTGCCCACCCCAACTGGGGACCTGGCCCACAACCCAGGCATGTGCCCCGACTGGGAATTGAACCTGTGACCTTTTGGTTCACAGGCTAGCACTCAATCTACACTGAGCACACCAACAAAAGCTAGGTTTCTACATTTTCTAGGTTTCAATTTAAGGATAAGTCCATTCATATAGTACTGTATGAGTTTGAAATCAGCATCCTATTTTGCTTTTTATCTTTTGGTACATTCTGCTTTACACTCATCTCCATTCACATATTGTCTAAAAGACCTGATAGATTAATGATACTCCCAGATTATCAAACAACTACAGGGAGTCAGCGGAGAACAGCAGGAAGTACTCAGGGTTAGCAGAAGGCAGTTAGTCTTTGCCACCAATTTGACTAAGATGAATTCTGGGGAGGCAGGAAGTACATGAAGTGGTTCGGAACCCACGTTCTGGAGTCAGACAGACTAGGGACTGCATCCCGACTGCCACTTTACTAGTCATGGAAGTTCCTTTCCTTCTCCGTACTTCCACTTCTTCAAACTGTAAGCTGAGGCTACGTCAGCTCCCTTACAGGGCTGTGATAAGGAGTAAATGAAAGGGTAAATACTGAGAGCTTGGTGCAGTGCCTGGCATGTAAGTGCTCAGTAAATGGTGGCTACTGTAATCATTAACAATTCCCACATTTTGCTAGACCTAATCCTGTAATCTTTATTATATACTTTATAAACTTGAGGGTAAAAAAATAGGTCAATGTCATCAATGGGGCTGGAGTAAGGATGAGATATTAAATAAACAAACCATTTTTCATAATTTCACCCAACAGACATGTTTGAATAAGACAGGGTATGAGTAACATTAGCATCTACTCAATTTCTAAGTTCATGGGACTAAATTCTTTGGAACTCAAAATTATTTACAGAAAAAAATATCCTACTTTAAAGACTACAAGGACAACAATCTTTGCCAGCTCTTCTACTTGACCAATAAGAAAAAAGCCTGTTCTCACAACTTCTACACACTGATCTGTAGCTTACGCACACCTTACAAATCAAAAACTCTGAGTGCATGGATGAATGTTTTTGTGAATTTTTAAAGAGGGTTGTTACCCTGCACTTTACTTGATCTTCTGTCAAAGACTATGTTTAATCTAAATTAATGGTTCAATCTACTCTTAGGTTAAATATAGTAATTACAAATAAACTATAAGATTATCCATGAAACTATAATTAAAAAACCATCTCGGCCTGGCTGGAGTGGCTCAGTGGACTCAGTGCTGGCCTGCAACCCAATGGTCACTGGCTCCATTCCTAGTCAGGGCACGTGCCTGGGTTGCAGGCCAGGTCCCCACTTAGGGTCATGTGGGAAGCAACTGATGGATGCATCTCTGGCATGTCAATGTTTCTCTCCCTTTCTTTCTCTCTCCCTTTACCTCTCTAAAAATAAATAAAATCTTAAAAAGAAAAAAAGATCATCTCTGCCCTGGTCTGTGTGGCTCAGTTAGTTGAAGGGTCTTCCTATAACCAAACGGTTGTGGGTTTGATGCCTGGTCTGGGCACATGCAGTCCCCAGTCTGGGAGCATATGGGAAGCAGCCCATCAATGCTTCTCTCTCTCCCTTTCTCTTTAAAAGCAATAAAAAAAATGTCCTCAGGTAAGGATATAAAACACCATCCCTGAGCCTACTCTAATATCAGAAAACATCCCAGTTATACAGAGAAGCCCAATTTTAATTTGTATTTAACCATGAGAATGTGAGATCCAGAAGTAGGAAGATTCTGACTGGCTCCCTGGTATAACTCCAAGCCTGGAAGATGCCTGGCGCTTGGTAAGCATTTGCTGAATGCACGAATCTGCTTAGTTATGTTTATTATTCCCATTACTTGCCAGTGGGTCAACAGACAAGAGACCTCTCGTTTCAGATTCACTTCCATGTGGTGACTGTTACTCCTGCAGAAGCTCCCCACGTTATTTCACTAATACCCTTTTCCCAAAATACAGAATCCAGCACCTCTCAAACCGCTAACAGCTGGGAGTAAAGAGCTGTCTCTGGAGTGAACGGTAATGAATCTTACCTGTAACTCCGACCTCAGCTGATGTACCTGACCCATCAGCTTCTGTATTTCTTCCCTCTGCAGCTCCTTCTCATGTCGAAGTTCTTCTAGCTCCATGCTATTAGCAGTACTGCTGTCCAGGCCTTCAAAACCAGATCCTTCCTTTAAGCTGTTAATCAATTTTTCTTTAGACTAGTATAAAAAAAAATATCTTTAAGCAAAGCAGAGATTAGCTTGTACACTGAGTATCATCTGCTGTACCCCAGCTAAACCACTATGGAAACATCCAATTACATCCTCCATCAAAGAAGGCCTACAGGCTGTAAACCCGACAGAGCCTTGCTGTACAATGTCCTTGGGTTTCAGTCCCCAGGATGAAGTTATTATTGAAAACTTATTTTTAACAAGATTTTTCTCATATTTTCTTCTTATAGTTTCTTGTGCTTATTTTTCCCATCACAAGCCAGTCAAGAAATATTTTTGGAGCAGCCATGATGGGCTTGGCATTGTGCCAAGGGTCCTGTGTAATAAAGACAGTGTCTCTGTTGCCCGGCCAGTGGCTCAGTGGGTTGGAATGTCATCCCACAGACCAAAAGGTCACCAGTGGGATTCCTGGTCAGGGCACACACTTAGATTGCGGACTCAGTCCCTGATTGGGGCACGTATGAGACAATCAACTGGTGTTTCTCTTTCTTCCTCTTCCTCCCTCTCTCTGGAATCAATGCATATATTTAAAAATTGAAGAGACAGATTAATGTCTCTCACTGTGGATAGTATACCCTGCCTTATAAACTAAAAAGGAAGTTACGAGTGTCCACTGGAGGGCAATAAACACAAGCTGAGGAGGGCACCTGTACAGTGCCCCCTTCCCCAGGAGAGAAAACCACTTCCGGGGAGGAGAAGGCTCTATCAGAACGACGGCAGTGGTGCTGGTCCTGAGAAATGGCTAGGATTTTAACACGTGTCGAGAAAGCAGAGTGCAAAGCATTAAACGCAAAGGGCATGAAGGCCTGTAAGAACGTATTGTTGAGATGTGCTCAATGGTCTGTTAGGACCAATCTGGGGGGTTTTAGATGCCAGACTAAAATGTCTGAATTTTCTTTGGTGGGCTAAAACGAATGATAGACAATGCAGCAATATTTTCACCGATGCATCCCTTAGGGCAAGGGACATATATAAAGGAAGGAATAAATAAATGGGACTTCATCAAATTAAAAAGCTTCTGCATAGTTAAAGAAAATGCAAAGGGAACCAACATATAGGAAAACGTATTTGCCAATGATACTCGAGGCAAGGGTTTGATCTCCAAAATATACAAAGAACTCACACAGCTCCACACCAGGAATACAAACAATCCAATAAAAAATGGGCAAGGACATGAACAGACTCTTCTCCAGGTAGGACACACAGAGGGCCCATAGATACATGAGAGGATGCTCAGCATCACTAGCCATAAGAGAGATGCAAATTAAAACCACAATGACCGGCCAAGATGAAGGCGTGGGTGGAAACACTGCCTCCTCGCACAACCAAGTTTAAAGACAACAAAGTTTTAGTAACAAAAACGCAACCAAAACAGAGAAAATTGAACTGTATGGAAGTCTGACAACAACGACCCATTCAGCCAGACCAGTAAAAGGGGTGGAATCAGAGGCTGGCGAAGTAGGGTTGCGCAGGAAAAAGTGGCCAGACTGACCCAGGCACGCAGGTGGCGGTTGGCAGATCCCAGGTGTGGGGTGGTAACGGGCAGATCCAGTGGGGGCACAAGGCAGCTGGCTGACCATGGTCACACATTTGCAGGCAGATAAACCAGGCAAAGGAGAGAGCAGTGAGGCAGACTGTACAAACCAGGGCCCTAGCAACGGGAATTAAAGCCTAAAAGCACCAACTGAAAAAACTTTGGGGGTCAAGGTGCCAGGTGAAGCTCCCAGGCTCACAGAGAGTTTGTTGGAAAGACCCACAGGGTCCTGGAGGGTGCACAGGCCCACGCACCTGGGAGCCGGCACCAGGGGGGCCAGGTTTGCTTGTAGGAAGCAGCAGAGGGGACCAAAATCCGAGAGAGTGTGGACAAGCGCCATTGCCCCTCTCTGACCCGGCCTCCACATACAGTGTCACAACCCAGCAACTGGGTCGCCCTGCCCTGGTGAACACCGAAGGCTCCACCCCTCATTCATAACAGGCATCAAACAAACCAAAACATTATGGCTCGAGAAGAACAGATCGAAGCCCCAGAGCCAATACTTCTAAGCGACCAAGAGACAGCCAACCTATCAGATACACAGTTCAAAACACTGGTGATCAGAATGCTCACAGAACTGGTTGATTTTAGTCACAAATTAGAGGAACATATGAAGGCTAAACTAATTGAAATTAAGGGAAATGTACAGGAAACCAATAGTAATGGAAAGGAAACTGGGACTCAAATCAAGGGAGTGGACCAGAAGGAAGAAAAAAATAACCAAACAGAAAAAAATGAAGAAACAACAATTCAAAAAAACGAGGAGAGGCTTAGGAACCTCCAGGACATCTCTAAACGTTCCAACATCCGAATTATAGGGGTACCAGAAGGGGAAGAGAAATAGCAACAAGTGGAAAGCTTATTTCAACAAATAATAAAGGAGAACTTCCCCAATCTGGCAAAGGAAATAGACTTCCAGGAAATCCAGGAAACTCAGAGTCCCAAAGAAGTTGGACCCAAGGAGGAACACACCAAGGCACATCATAATTACATTAGCCAAGATTAAAATGTAGGATAATCCTAGAAGCAGCAAGAGCTAAGGGGACAGTCACCTACAAAGGAGTTCCCATCAGACTGTCAGCTGATTTCTCAAAAGAGACCTTACAGGCAAGAAGGGGCTGGAAAGAAGTATTCCAAGTCATGAAAACCAAAGACCTATGTCCAAGATTGCTCTATAGCAGCCAATAGGTGGCTCCAGCAAAGCTTTCATTTAGAATGGAAGGACAGATAAAGCACTTCTCAGATAAGGTCAAGTTCGAGGAGCTCATCATCACCAAGCCCTTAATGTATGAAATGTTAAAGGGACTTATCTGAGAAAAAGAAGATAAAAAATAGGAACAGTGAAAGGACAGCAAACTCACAGTTATTAACAACCACACCTAAAACAAAAGCAAACTAAGAGGACAGCTAGATCAGGAGCGGAACCATAGAAATGGAGATCACATGGAGGGTTAGCAACAGGGGAGTGGGAGGAGGAGAAGGGGGGAGAAGGTACAGAGAATAACTAGCATAGAGGGTAGGCAGAAAATAGACAGGGGGGAGGGCAAGAATAGTATGGAAAATATAAAATCTAAAGAACTTGTGACATATAGATATAAACTAAGGAGGGGAATGGTGGGAGAAGGGGTGTGCAGGGTGGAGGGGAATAAAGGGGGGAAATGGGACAACTGTAATGGCATAATCAATAAAATATATTAAAAAGAAAAAAAACCACAATGAGATGCCACTTCACACAGGTCAGAATGGCCATCATAAACAAAACAACAGACAACAAGTGCTGGTGAAGTTGTGGAGAAAAGGGAACCCTAGTGCGCTGTTGGTGGGAATGCAGACTGGTACAGCCATTGTGGAAAACAGTATGAATTTCCTCAGAAAACTAAAGGTGGAACTGCCTTTTGACCCAGCAATTCCACTGCTGGGATTATACCCTAAGAATCCTGAAACTCCAATTCAGAAGAACCTATGCACCCCAATGTTCATAGCAGCACAATTTACAACAGCCAAATGCTGGAAACAACCTAAGTGCCCATCAGTAAGTGAGTAGATAAAAAACTGGTACATTTACACAATGGAATACTATGCAGCAGAAAGAAAGAAGGAGTTCTTACCCTTTGTGACAGCATGGATGGATCTGGAGAGCGTTATATAAGTGAAATAAGCCTGGTGGTGAATGACAAATATGATCTCATCTATAAGTGGAACCTAATCAACAAAACAAATGAGCAAAACAGAGCCAGAGACATGGAAATAAAGGACAAACTGACAGTGACCAGAGGGGTGAGGGGAGGGAGAGAACAGGGGAAAGAAAAGGAACGGTCAAGTCAAGGAACATATATAAAGGACCCACGGGCACAGACAATGGGGTGGGGAAGGGGAGGAGAACAGGGGAAAAGGTGGGACAACTGTAACTGAACAACAACCGAAAAAAGAAAAGCAGGCAGGGCAGTGTTACGACCAGAGATGTGTTTCGGGAGGGTCGATCTGGCGGCGGTGTAAGGCGGGTGTCCACAAATCCGGTCCATGGGCCAGATTGGGCCCATGGCCTGCTTCCACACAGCCTGCAAACTAAGGACGGTTTTCACATGTTAAAGGGATTATGAAATATAAAAACAAAGAGTATGGGTTGGATACTACACATGGCCTGCAAAGCCTGCAATATGTCCTATTTGGTTCTTTCCAGAAAAAGTTTGCGGACTGCTGGTATAAAGGACGCATTAGAAAAAGAGATTTGATGTGGGAAGACCAGTTTAAAAAGTGCTACAATTGTAGGCCGGTAATGAGGGCCACCAGCTATTCCACCTTAAATATAAATATTTGATCAAATCACTCTCCATCAAAAACTTGTTTCTTTTTTATGTGGTATAATTATGGGTGACTTCTTCAAATTCCTCTGTAGTTTTCAAATTTTCTGTAATAAACATCATCATATATACGATATACCCGTATTTTCAGACTATAAGATGTACCCGCACCCCAACTTGGGAGGAATAATGGTTGTTAATGCTGCTGTTGAGTTCTGTTTACATTTACATTGGTGAAATATTATGTTATTTATATTAAATATTTTACCACATTTTTTTGCTTCAAAAATTTTTTCCTATTTTCCTCCTCTAAAACCTAGGCACATCTTATGGTCTGAAAAATACAATATATATCATATATGTATATCATGTATGATATATATGAGAGACACACCCCCCCACATATATATGTGGTCTGTCCAGAAAAAGTCCAGCCATTGTTATTACAACAAGAACAGTTTGCACAACGCTGATGTAACCTGGCAGCCAAGGAGAGTGCACTGGAATGCACACGTGTGAACAATGACGACTTCACTGCACTAGTCAGTGGGGGTGGTAAACGTTGGTGAGTGAGCACGTGCACTGTGTGGCTGTCTAATTCAAAATGACTGAGTGAACAGAGCAACGAATCTGCATCAAATTTTGCATCAAGCTTGAACATTTCCTCCACGTAAACTATTCAGATGATTCCAAGGGCCGCAGCTATGAGCAACTGGTGACTGGCAGCTTCATCATGACCACCTGCCTGCTCATGCAGTGTTTTGGTGAAACATCAAATCACCCATGTGACTTAGCCACCTCCTACAGCCCAGATTTGGTGACCTGGGACTTCTAGCTTTCCCCGAAACTGAAATCACTTTTGAAAGTGAAGAGATTTCAGACTGTCAATCGGATTCAGAAAAATCCGATGGGGCAGCTGATGGTGACTGGGACAACTGTGTGAGGTCCAAAGGTGCCTACTTGGAAGGGGACTGAGGCGTCATTGTCCTGTGTACAGTGTTTCCTGTGTCTTCTTCAATAAATGTGTTTTTCACAGCACATGGCTGGATACTTTCTGGACAGACCTCGTATGTATCTTCCTACAGAGCTAAGCCTCTGCTTAGCTTCAGCCTGTATTTCTGATCACCTTCCTGAAACTGTCACCTCAATTTCACATCAATTTTGAAAACTCACCCTAACGTGTCATAATCTCGCTCAGCCCTAGCCTGGTGTCTTTCCTTGCAGTACAGGAGGCGCCACTCACAAACTCAAACCAGAAACCAGGAGTCAGCCTGGATTCCATCTGCCACTTTCCACTTCCTCCCATTAAACCTCCAGCCTCACACACTCCACCTCCTACCCTTCTTTTAGCTGTGCCCCATTTGGCGTCCTCACTGCCCCAGATCAGACCAGGCCCCCCGATTTCTTCTCATTATTTCTGATACTGCCTCTTCACCACCCACACCTCACCACCAGTCCTCCTCCCCACCACGCACTCAACAGCCGACTGTGTGCCTTCCAAGGCCAGGCACTGTCCTGGGGGCGCAACGATAAGCGAAACACAGATCCGACTCTCTCCTGACCTCATCACTGCCATAGTGTTTACACTCAAATCTAACCAATCATGCTGCTCAAGTTCTCTAATATCTGCCCCCCTCCCCTACCACCATCTAGAAGATAAAATCAAAACTCCTTCGCAAGGTGTGCAAGGCCCTCCCTCCACGATATGGCTTCTGTCTACTGAGTTTTATCTCCCAACTCTTAATCTCTAACACTTGATGTACCAGTGATAGGAAACTAGCTGTGGTCCATTAAGGACGCCGCATTCCCCTAGGGCCCGTGCTCTGGTGCAGGTGTTACATCTGAAGCCTCTTCCCCACCGTGAGTCTTCCGACTCCCCCTCCAAGTTCCTCTTCTCACAGCATCTCCAGTGGTCCCTGATACCCCCAGACAGAGTTTAAGGGCTTACTGCATCAATAACTCCATCAGATCAATAACCAGTGTCCCTCCACTACACTGAACACTCTTTTAAGAAAGAGGACATGTCTTTTCAGCTTTGTGTCCTCAGCATCTATCACAGTGCCTAGGGAACAGTTAGGGGCACAGTAAGTACCTTTTAGATGAATTAACCTGTTAGGATGACAGAGGAGCAACAAGGAAGAGTAAAATAGAAGAGTTTGGAGATGAACCTGATATTTCTTGAGGGTGGGGCTAAAGAAAAAAGGTGGAGTCGAAATGACACTGGAGTTTCATACTCCGTTACTCAGGAAATGGCAGTGACACTCACTGAAAGAGGGGGATGAAGGGGAAGCTGGCGTGGGGGCTGAGACATCCCACAGCAGGCATGTGGAAGCTGAGGGTGAGGACTCAGGACTGGAGGCTGAAGTCACTCGGGGGTAGAAGCACAGTGAGTATATATAATCATGCAAAGTCAGAAAGAGTAAAGCCAGGGGGTTTAAGAATCTGAGAGAATCGTTGGAGAAGGGGGGGTGTATGCCAACGGACACAGAAACGTTAGCGAGAGAGAAGGGAGAGGGGCAGGGCGGTGCGGGCAGCTTGGAAGGCAAAAGTCCCAGGAAGGTAGGAGGGTTGACTACCCAACGCTCGACCAAAATCGAAGTGGATGGAGATGAAGAAAAGGACAGAAAATACACATTTGGATCATTAAAGACTTTTAAGGAGACAATCTCAGAAACGTGGTGAGGGCAGAAACTACGTGGGTGAGTTAAAGTTAGTAACTCTAACACGTAAACAGCATGTAGACAGTGGTTCTGATACACCTGACATTGACAGAAAGAACAGAGAAATGGATCAGAGTCACCAAAAAAGCCAAAAGGACTGTTTTTTCCTTCATCCTTCCACTAAGAAAGCAAGTGCTCTTGAGCAAGCTGAGCCAGAAAGACAGCAAGAGGACAGACCTGTGGAGAAAGGGCTTAAGGGGGCGGGGGGAGTTACAGGCGATGCACCGGCAGACAATTATCCCAGAAAAAAGAAAACAGAAGGACACAGTTTCCCTCTGACGTGAGACGGAACGGAGAGAAGCTGAAAAGTACATCAGCTGACTACGGTCCTTTCAGTACAGAAGGTAAGGTCACCTTAGTTCGAGGAAGGGGGGACTAAGGTGGATGAGGCCATTCTGAGAGCTAGACCAGCTGCTCTGAAAAATTCAGTGGAGGATCAACACAGAAGAGTAAAATGGCTGCTTAACAGCAAATATTAATATCCTCCCAGTGATAAGGTGATAGGCAGACCTGAACTAGGTAGTGGCAGAATAATTTTAAATTAAAAAGTGGCAGGAACAAAAGACATTTCACCCTTTTCATCCTATTTCTGAGTAAGGCACCTGAAGTGAGCCAACCCAGCCAAACATGAACAAACCTGCTCACAGACCCATAGTCTTAAACTGTCTCCCAGGTACCAGCATATCAGCATTCAAATGTACACACTCCATGCTTACTTGGAGTATTCGAGTAGCTTTTTGCTTGTAGTCAATCAATTCCTGCTTAGAGGACTCCAAACTGGTCTTACACGTCTTGACTTGCTGCTGTAGCTCATCGACTTTCTTCTTTTCATCTGCGTGTTTTCGTTCCGCCAGAGTCACTGCTTCGGCCAAACTCTGACGCTCCGCTTCCACTCTATTCAGGCGTGCAGCAAACTCGCTCTGTGACAAATTTTATACTGTGCTTAGAACATTCTGCTTTGAGGTATGTTGTACAACCAGTCATTAAGATAGCCAAGGGATTGGGTAGCTCAGCCCGACAACATAACAGGCAGGTGAAAAGCAGTCTTCATTAGTCAGCAACTGAAGAACAGGGACTCTAAGGCAGTGGCTCTCACACACGTCGACCCATCAGGATCAGTTAGGGAATTTACTAAAATACAGCCATCCCAGGCCTTCCCCGGGCTTACGAAATTGGAACTCCCCAGGGAGTCTGGCCGTCTCGCTGCCAGAGTGGACCTGACACCAGCTGACCAGTGGACACTGGATTTACAGAAAACGAGAAAGTCTACGAGAAAACAAGTGGGAAGCAGAAGAGCTACGTCTTTTCAAACAGCATGGCTAATGTTTCCCCTTCATTTGGATTTTCTAAGAAGCTGGTCAATGCCAATTTTTAGCTTAAGAAACTTTGAAAGCTCTAAAAGACACGTGGCCTGTTACTTAGTAGCCTATTTTTCGGAGACCTCTGTTTTACCTTTATTCTCAAAAGCCCCCATCACTAAAAAAGCCTCAGGAGGTGCGGCGAAGTCAGGAAGCATCTACCACCACCTGATGGTAACTAGAGCCCGCACGACTGGCATCCGCACCAACGCCTCTTCTGAAAAAGCAGAGCAAGGCGACTGCTGCCCACCGAGCACGTGGGGTGTGTCCAGCACAACTGACGGTGGAACTTTAAAGTTTATTCATTTTGACTAATTTAAATGTAAACACAGAAACTAAGTCAACTCAATTAACAACGGATTTATTCAGATATAATTCACATACCATCAAATTCACCCGTTTAAGATACAGAACTCAGTGGTTTTTAGTTCACAGAGTCGCGCAACCATCACCGTCACCTAATTTCAGAGCACTTTTAGCCCCAGAAGAAATCTTCTACCCATTCCTCCCTCGCTCCCAGTCCCTAGCAACCACGAGTCTACTTTCTTGCTGATAGATTTGCCTATTCTGGACATTTCACATGAATTAAATCATATGGTATGTGGCCTTTGGTGTCTGTCTTCTCTCACTTAGCACAACGTGCCCAAGGTTCATCCATGGTTAGCACGAATCGGTACTTCGTTCCTTTTGATGGTGTGTATCTCTGCACAGAGACATACCACATTTTGTTTCCAGTTTCGGGTATGAACCATGTGCTACGAAAATTCACGTACCAGTTTTTGTGTGGACGTGTATTTTCAGTTCTCTTGGGTATGTACCTAAGAGTTGAACTGTGGGGTCACAGGGTAAATCTGTATGTAAGTTTTTGAGGAACTGTTTGTTACTGAAAAACTGCTGAGCATGTTCAGAACAATTTGGGTATTGGATTTATTCTTCTACCTGTAAGTTTTATGAAATCTAAATACAGATCAAATATTTCAGAAAAAAATGGAATGCTTGAATTAAGTGTAAGACACCATATTTTAAAGACTGAGTATGCAAAAAAGAATGTAAAATATCTCATCGTTAAATTTTAACTACATTAGATGCAGCACTTTAGATATAATGTGATAAAATACACGAATAACTTTTTAACCCACATTAGATGATATTTATTTCAGGGCTGAATTGTTTTCGCCTGTTTAAAAAAGAACCTACACCGATGGGCCCCGAGTGCCCATGAGACAGACCTGCGACAGGTAAAACCGAAACACCAACACCTGTGCCCCACCTCGTTTGGTGCAACCTGACTCCCTGGGGTGCGCGCTGGGCACCGGAACGGAGTGAGAGCCACAAGAGCGACTCTAACGTGTACACAGGATCGAGAATCACGGAATAGATGCAAAAACTCACTTAAGAATAAAACTCTATATTATATGTACAATTATCTTGAAATAAATGAATCAGAATAAATTAGAATCATTAAAAGCTTAAATAAAAGTAAACAAGATGTTCCCAACTGGCTTTTAATCAAATAATGGTAATTATTTGATTAAAATAATCAAATGATGGTAATTATTTGATTAAAATAATCAAATGATGGCTGTACAAACAATTAGATGAAGAGATGCCTATCTCTGATGAACACGAGCTATTTTAGGCACCCTCCCTCCCAGGAGCACACCGCCTTTCTCTGCGCCCCCCCCACGCCCTCGGGTGCTCTACCTTTGGTTCTCCTCCTTCCTGAGCTGGGGGGGGGGGGGCCTCCTGCTGCCTCCGCAACTGGCCTCCTGAGCCTGTGCAGCTCAGCTGGCTCACTTCCGCCACCTCTGTAACTTTCTAAATAAACTTTCTTTTATTATTTGGAACGACAACTACCTTAACTGTATTTCAATACATAAAATTACATTGATCAAGGTAAGTTTTCAATGCAGGATTTTATTAAAGAGTAAATGTGTCACAAAAAGCAGAAGGCCATTCTTCCTCGTCCGAATACTAACACAACTCTGCTGCCTCCCAGCCTCACCTGCATCTGTTTGTAGCTCTCCTGCTCCCTCTTCAACGTGGCTTCAGCTTCATGCAGTCTCTCCTGAAGGGTCTGCAGAGCTTGATTCTGCAGGCTGTTGCCTTCGCTGTGATCCTGCATTATCCTACATGAAAACACACCAACTCGTTTTTTGACGCAACTCGTTTCCACAATGCACAGGTGACAAGGTGGACTAATTGAGAGCATTAGCTTGTTAGCACAAAAGGATGGGTCGACTAAACATTCTTAAAGAAATCTTTTTCCCTTTTAATGGAATGTCATCTATATTTCTTAGGCATCCAAATACAAATATGCAGCACTTATTGTTTATGTCAAAAGATTAATAAGACTATGCTCTTCAAATGTTTAAATACAGAATTTGCTAAAAAGGCATCTTAGGACTCAAACCCATTTTTCATCACACTGCCAGCATTACCAGAAGCTAATTATTTTCTCTTGCGAATTTCTGGAAGCTACACATTCACGAGACAGTGTGCACCGCAGTGTGTGTCACCACTGTACTGGGAAGAGTCGCCCCAGCTCCCTGTCTCATTATTAACAGGATCGCCTACCGTGATTTTTCGCTCTGCAAGGCTTCTAAAGCTTCCGTGCGGGTGCTCAGGAGCTGGTCGGCCTCCTGGAGCCTCACTTTCAGGACAGCCAGCTGGGAGTCCTTGGCGGCCACTGCTTCAGTCAGGTCATCCACTTGGGCTCGAAGTTCCCGAGTTATTCGATCACTCTTGGAGTGGTCAACATTCCACTTTTCAATCCTTGCTCTTGCTTTGTTTAATTCTTAAAAAACAAACAAACAAAAAAACAACCTCTATTCAAGAAAACAGATCTTTTTCAGAGAGCAGATTCTTCTGAATCCTTTTACAGGGGTGTCCAACCTTTTGGCATCTCTGGGCCACACATTAAATGCACAAACACTAACGAAAACTGATGAGCAAAAAAAGATAGTAAATCTGCAATTTGCGCGGGGTCGCACATGGCCCACAGGCTGCGGTCTGACACCCCTGCTTCTTCCTGAAATTAGGAGCTCGCAAATATCTTCAAATTTTTTGCTCCAAAAGGGACACCCATTTTTCAGCCAACGTTCACATTTGTATTACAGTTAATAGGCTGCAAAGGGGCATGATGCTAGCTGCCCTTCTACAGATGTCTCTCCTGGAGACACAGCATAACGCGGTTGGAGGCCCGAGCAGCACACAGCAGAAAGTTTACAACACCGAACCCGTCAGCGGACGTGTAGGGTTCGGCTAGAAACGAAACAGAAAGCAAACGCAAGTCGAGGGCAGATAACGGACACCCCAGTGAGACCAGACAAATAAAAACAAGACCAACATGGGAAAGAATCTGTTTCTCGCCATTACTGAGGCAAAAAGATGTTCTTCTTTCAACCTAAGAAGCTGGTGCAGAAAAAAGGAGGTAGGTAGTGCAGATTTCTATTCCTCACATGCCACCTGTAAGTGCAGTGTGCCTGCAAAAAATTTTTTTAAATATTGAAGCAAACTCTCTATAGAATCTCAAGAAAAGCTCTGTCTCTAAGTCCACGTTGGTCTGCGTCAAGTGGAGCTCTCTCTAGTCAGTCTAAAGAGACAAACTATCTTCCCACTGAACTCTTCCAGGCCTCCCCCACGTCTCAGCAAAACTTGCCCCATGGCCCCCACACTTCTAATTACCCCCAGGGGCCCAGGCAGAGATTTCTTCCCTTCCATCTTCTCCCGGCTGCACTCACAACACTGACACATTCCCGTCACTACCTACGTCACGAGACTACTTACTTTCTAATTATCCATTTCTGAGAATTCTGTGGGTTTTGCACCCTAGGGCCACCACACCGCACAATTCCTGAGGGCACTAATCAAACAAAGTGCTATATTTAGTCTATGTCCCCGAGAGCAGGGCGATACAGTGACCCCGCCTGTTGCCGCCCACTGCTTGGTTTAACCCCACCCTGGGTTTGTGAACAGTTTCTCTGGGAGGTGCAGAGCAAACCGGCCGAATAGACCACATGACTATTAATGTTCCCTTCTTCTGAATTCTTAAATTTCATAGTTCCTACCAAAAAACGACCAAACAAGCCACGTTCTCTGTTTCAGGTTGATGACAGGACGGCTGGTTCCATTTCCAAATCTGGGACCCGTATTTCAATGAAAATCTATTTTTACAAGTCTCATCTAATATGTTTCTAACAGCTTAGCTATAATCAAGGTTTTAGTCTATTTCTGAAATGCTAACTTCCAAATCCTGGACAACTGGAATAGGGCTCTACACACTACCTTCTTGAGTTTCCCTGGCTCTTTGAAGTAATGAGGCCATTTCCTGATTTAAGGACTGAACTTCATTCCTCAGCAGTTGATTCTCCAACCGGAGATTAGACAGTTCATGAGATTTGCCGTCATCAGTGGGCTGTGGGTTGTGATCAGCATAGGAAATGTTTGATGACACGTTTTCCTTTGAAGAATCCTCTTGGATTTCATGGCCAGAATCGGAATTACTGGACACTTCTGCAAAAAAGGAACACGTTCGGGTTACAATGGAACACTCACTACGCCGACATCAGCAGCCCACTTGGGTAGACTGCCTTCTGACTCACGTGGACCGCTACAGCTGACGTGCTGTAAAAAGCAAACTTAAACTCTCAATAAACTTCCCTTTGATGAAATCTCATTCTCATACAGGAGCCTACAGGCCCCTAGGGATCCTGGACACACTGAATGAAGAACGGGGGATAAAGAACAGGTACAAGAACACAGCACCGGGACAGCTAAAATCAGGGCTAACTTAAGCGGTTGGACTTGGTCTCCCTTTTGCCTCCAAATTGTTTTTTGGGGGAAAAAAAGAAAAACAAGCCTCAACATTGAAAATATTGAAAAGGCACAGAAGGACAACTGTGGGTTTTAAGGAGAGTTAATAATAGGTCAGAACAATGAGTTACACACCGAACTGGAATATAAAATGCCTAACCCACAGAAATACAGACAGGAATTCAGATTCACTTTGTTTTTAATTGCTACTAAATACGATGCAAATATCCTTTTTACTCTAAAAAGACTACATTGCTGCCCTGGCTGGTGCTGCTCAGTGGATTGAGTGCCGGCCTGTGAACCAAAAGGGCTGCCAGTTCGACTCCCAGTCAGGGCACTGGGTTGTGGGTCAGGTCCCTAGCTGGGGGTGCGTGAGGCAACTGACTGATGTTTCTCCCACGCATCGATGTTTTTTTCTCTCTCTTTTTCCCTCCTTCCCCTCTTTCTGAAAACAAAATCTTTAAAAAAAGATTACACGCTAAAAAAATTTACATGATCAATGCACTAAAACAATGGGCAAAACACTGGTCACTTTACAAAGGAAGATAATCTGTTCATCAATAACCCACGAGGAAAAAATGATCAAAAGACTGGAACAGATGCTTCCCAGAGATGAAACTCAAACAGTCAAATGTTCGAAAAGACGCTTGACCTCATTTAGTAACAAGAGAACTTTTAAACAATGACATTCCACAGTGGGTCAACAAAACATAAGAAGTCACAGTGAGCCCTGGCCGGTGTGGCGGGGTTGGTGGGCACCCTCCCACCGACCGAAAGGTCCAGGGTTCGGTTCCCAGTTGGCGCACGTGCCTGGATTGTGCGTTGGGTCCTAGTTAGGGTACGTTATGAAAGGCAGCCAATCAATGTTTCTCGAGGTTTCTCTCCCTCTTTCTCCCTCCTTTCCTCTCTCTAAAATCAGTAAGCATGTCCTTGGGTGAGGACAAAAAAAAAAAAAAACATTAAAAACATCAAATTTTGGTGAGAATGCAGAACAAAAGGAACTCTTAACCACAGCTGGTGAACTATGAATTGGTGCAAACTTCAGAAAACCGCTTTGGCGTTCATTACTAGCGTGGCTGACACTGTCCCAGCCTTCAACTCAGCAATTCCATTTCTAAGGATCCTGAGACTTCTCAACCTACGGTGAATTTGCTCCCCCAGTGACATCTGGTAATGTATGAAGACATACTGGGTTGTCACAACTGGGGTTGCTAGTGGCATCTAATGGGTTAGGAGGCCATGATGCTGCTGAACAGCCTACAAAGAACAGGACGGTTCCCCACGACAAAGAATCATTCACCCTAAAAGTCAATAGTTCCGAGATGGAGAGACTTTGACCTAGGGAAACAAGACTCTGCTTCTGTAACTCCCATGTACTGACTGGTTCTAATTTCCCAGTCAACCAGGTTGATCCTGCCTTTGATCTGTCCTTTACAATTATAATGTAAGTTGTTTTCCTTAAAAGTAAAAACATAATTCATCTCAACCTTAAGCTTAAAAGACCTCTATTAGCATCATATTGCTATGGCACTTTCAAGTTTTATTAACCTAGCAAACACCTGGAAAATAAAAAAATTCAGATGCCCTGCCTCCATCCCCCAAAAATCTAAACCAGGAAGTCTGGGGAGGCACCCAATAACTCACTTTTTATTAACCATGAAAGTGATTCTAATGCACGATGCCCAGGGACCACTTTTTAACGATGATCTACAGGAGCAATGGGCTTGCAGTGGCACACGAGAGCCTTCACAACGGGTCCCACTTTTCTTTGCTAGCGTCCTTTCCTGCACTGCTCTCCACCTCTCACTCAGCGTTCCCCAAACAGCATGAACAAACTAAGGAACAAACTTCAAAGTACTTCTTCCTGGAAGGCTGCCTCCAGCCCCTCTTCTTTTCCACCTGGAAAACGATTCATTAAGACCCAGCTCAAATTACAGACCCTGGGTATCCCGACCTGAACTCGTGGGCAGTTAGTTCCTTTCTCCTCACAACCTGCTGACCACACCTCACTTACTGTGTTTGTGACACTGCACTTAAATGTGTGTATCTCCCCCACTGTACCCTCATTTCATTCAAGAGACTTTCAATAAATGTTTGTATAAGCAATGAAAAGATGGCTGAGAAACTTAGGAGTGTGTGTATATAATTAATCAACTGCTACTGCGCGCTCCTGTCTTGAAAGCCCCAAACCCTTGCCTCTACCACTTCTTTATCTTAGAGACACAAGACTGATTCCATTCCCCTGCAGCTGAGACTGTGGGAGAAGCTCTAACACTCCCGAAAGTAATCGACTTCACTGATCATCAGCGCTGTGAAGAATGCCCGCAGGACCCTGTCATGTGCGTCACTATTCAGAAATGGTTGGCAGGTACCTGAATTAACCACATTGCCATGCTAACCTCATTTGTGCAGATGAGGAGAGGTACAAGTAGAGGTAATTTCACAGCAAACGGAACAACTAAAAACCAGAACTCTAAGCTTTTATCTCACTACTACATCCATACCTTCAACCTGTCAACTTCAATCACAGTTCAGTCCGTCAACTTTACTCCTGGGGGGAATGCAGGGAACCCCTCCCCCCCCGGGGGCAAACCCCATATAATCAAGAATACACGTGAAGTACAGCCTGCTGTAAATCCCAATGACAAAAAAAATTAACTGAGACAGTCCCAAATCCAAAATTTGGTTTTCTTTCACATTTCAAAGCGATCTTTTCGTATTTTAAAATATGTTAGAGAATCATTTTGGATACCATTTCTCAGATGCCGGGTGGGTGGTTACCCTACAGACAACACTCAAAGGTCCCCACTGTAACTGCACATCAACTGGAAGTATTCCATGCTGTCTCCCTGGTTTACACCACACATTTCAGAGGGCCTGCCCTCCCACCAGTGGGGACAGGTAACAGAGAGAGGATGAGAAAAGTGACCAGAACGTATCCACACATGAACTTGCTTGACTTTAAAGGAGACAGAGGGCTGGTTAAGTACCATGGCTTTGGTTCCCAGAAGGACTTTCTTCAGTGGCTCTGGTGGTGGTTACGCTGGTGTTCGCAGCACTGACATTTGTCATCTGAGAACTCTGAAGAACAGGTGTCTTGCCCCTTTCTTTTCTGATTTCCGCCCTCCCGGCGGGCTCCTTCCGTGAACTGTTAAGAAAATCAAACAGCAGCTCATCATCAGGTTCAGACTTTTTCCTCCGAACAAACTGGGATGAAGGCCGAGGCGCAGATGAGTTTTCAACAGGGTGGGGGGTCTCCACTGACGCCCTAGGTCCTGCTTTCACATTTGTGGTTCCAGCTAAGATGGTGGCTTTTTGATTCCTAATGTTATCCGCTGCTGAGGAAATATAATCGGCTTTAGATCCAGTCTGATGAGTCAAATCTGTGTTTTGCTGGTGAAGTTCCGGATAGTCAATGTTTTTGCTATATATGATGCTGCTGATGTTCTCTTTCCTGCTGAGAGCTGTTGCAGCCCCTTGATCGACGCGGTTTAAAAGATCTTCTGCCTTTCCAGCCAGATCAGCAAACCAAGACATGATGGTAGCAGAGTAACCCTATTGGTTAACCCTACTGGTGAACCTGCAGGAAGGACACAAAGTGATCAGTGTGGCATGACGGCAGAATGTAACAGTTGAGACCAGGCTCTGGCGTCAGTCTGGGTTGAATGCCTAATCCTGCCTCTTACTAACTCTGTAACCTTGAGAAAACTACTTCACTGAAACTGGGAAACTTTATCTAGGAAATGTGCCAGGTAGTTCAGCTGGTCAGAGCGTCATCCTGATGCATCAAGGTTGCAGGTGCCCAGTCAGTGTACATACGCGAATCAACCAATGAATGCAAAAATAAGTGGGACAACAAATCGATGTCTCTCTCTCTCTCAAATCAATAAATTATTTTAAGTTAAAAAAAAGAAACTTAGTAAAATAAGTGCACTTACATTATGAGACACTTTTAAGATAAAATATAAAAATACTTTGCAGAGTGCACAGCACCCAGTAGGCACGCATGTTAGTAGATGCTATCACCATAACTACATCTACTGCTATTGTTACTACTCCTATCTCAACAAAGGCTAATTGTCAATGCAGCAAAAGCACCCAAATACCAAACAATATAGCAAGATTTCAGTACAGCCAAATAAAAGCAATTCCCTGAAGTTTGTTTTAAGGTGCTAAAACTTAAAGAAACTTCTGATTAATACAAACTCTATCTTTTAAAAATGCAGCACTACTGTGGATAATTTAGGTGTGAACGCAATATGTCTGTCTATAGTACACACCTTTAGCCCTGGCCCATGTGGCTCAGTTGGTTGGAGCATTGTCCCATAAACAAAAGGTTGCTGGTTCAATTCGGTAAGGGCACGTGCCTAGGTTGCAGGTCCGATTCCCCAATCAAGTCAGGGTGCATGTGGGAGGCAACTGACTGACATTTCTCTGTCTCTCTCCCTCCCCTCTTTCTAGAATGAGGAATAAAGTAAACCTTTAAAAAATATAAATAAGTTAAATAGTTGGTACCCTCTATGTGCATATTAAGCTAAATTCGAAATAAAAAAATAAGACTGCATAGCCATTCATTTTATACATATGTTTGAGTACTTACAGCCTGACACAATGAATCAGAATAATGACTGATTAATCCACATGATATAGGAGAAAGAGCACCATACAAGAAAGTTGCCCTAGCTGGTGTAGCTCAGTGAATAGAGCGCGGGCCTGCGAACCAAAGGATCACGGTTCGATTCCCAGTCAGGGAACATGCTTGGGTTGCAGGCCAGTTCCCAGCAAGGGACACACAAGAGGCAACCATACATTGGTATTTCTCTCCCTCTCTCCTTCCCTTCCCCTCTAAAGATAAATAAATAAAATCTTTAAAAAAAAGAGTACTGTATAATAAAGTCAATAAACATTTCTTGAATGTGCACATTGTTCTTTTTGCCCAGAAAAGGCAAAACGTGTCCGCTGTTAACTCCGATTCTTAATCTCCACCTGAATGTCATCCACTCCCTAAACCGTTTTCTTCCCATCTAAATTAGGTCTTATCATTTTGTGTTCATGCGCTATTCTTTGCCCTCACAGCCACTTTTTTGGGGTTTGTTTTTTTTTACAAATTTTATTTATCTTTAGAGGGGAAGGGAAGGAGAGAAGGAGAGAAACATCAATGTATGGTTGCCTTTTGTGCGTCCCCTGCTGGGAACTGGCCTGCAGGGAACCGGCCTGCAACCCAGGCATGTACCCTGACTGGGAATCGAACCGTGATTGTCTGGTTCACAGGCCCGCGCTCAATCCACTGAGCTACACCAGCCAGGGCTTTTTGGTTTTATAATTATGTTTTTTTCTCTCTTTCCCTGTTGGTCTTATCAAGACCTTGTCTATTTTGCTTGCCAATGGATCTCCAATGTTTAGCGCACAGATAAATTCTGATGAATACAATTTTTATGTCATATGCTGCGTAGACATTCATCACACAATTTTCACAAACACATTATGTGATAAGTAGCAATACATTAATCTTTTTTTTTTTTACAAGTGGGGAAAAGGTTTAGGAAGATCCCAGAATTTAACTGGCAGCTCAGATACTCAAATCTAAGTCAGCCAAACCCATTTTTTAATCCCTGCCTTTCCCATCCAGCTTATCAATATCTGAGTAACTTCAACACACCCTCTAAAACTGTTCTTTAGGAAAGAAATGGGACTACAACCAGCCTGTTTTTTATCAGAGTTTATGTGAAATCAAATGAAAATGGAGCTGAAATGCTTTGTAGCATAGAACTCCCTACAGATGCAATGTATTACTCTCAAGTAAACAGTGGTGGCATGGGGGCAAATTACCACTCATAATAAAGCAAAAAACACTTATTAATTCCTTCACGGCATCTCCCATTTTAAAGTTAATAGGGCTTTAATACGAAGCCCCGTGGCTTAATGTTTACCCAATGAAACAGATACTAAAGAGGGCCCTGGGCACAGGCCCCGTTGACAAACATCTCCAGCCTACTTCGTAATTCCTCAGGCACTGCCCCAAGAAACAGCCCAGTCGAAGGCGAAGGGAGAGGGCGACAGTGCGTGGGACGGGGGGTGGCGGCGGCAGGGCCCGCGGTGTCAACACAGACGAAAGGAGGCTGGGCGCAGTCGGTCGGCCCCAGGGAGTGACAGTGGATCGCAGGTGGGAGAGCGTACATCCCCACTTCGCTCCCCACCACCTTGTTGACCCTCTGGAGGGGGAAGGGCAGTGAAATCAGACTGGGGAGAGGGGAAGGGAGGAAAGGGGAGAGCACGAAACGAAGTCGGCCTAGGCCCAAGGGGGCTCTTCCGCACCACTCCCCCGCCTCTCACCAGGCAGAAAACCCAAATACTCCGTTAAGGGGACGCAGTCCCCGTGTTTCAGGCTGTTAATGCCCCAAGAGGACCCGTCCTACTCCCTGGGCCCTGGACGCCACCTCACCTGAGGACTCCGGAGCGGCCGCACAGCTGCCTAGATGTCTTCCTCGTCCACCCCACTTAGCAGCCGGCTGGGCGAGGGCCAAGCCCCGTGAAGGAGCCCCGTACCTGCCAAAGCCCTGCCACGGCCCTACCGCGGCCCAGCTACTCTTCCGGGAGACGTGGAAGGGCAGCGAGGACCCCAAAACAGAGTGGCTTCTGAGCTGCCTGAGCGGTCGGGAGACGAGAGCAGCCACCTGGAGGCGATTCAGGCAGCAGCGCCGACAGCAGCGGGGACCTCGCGCCTTGCCACGCCCCCTTTAGCCAGCTGCAAGACAGGGAGTGGGCGGGGCCTGTATGCGCTAGACAACTCCTCTTCCGACCGCAGGCAGCACGCGGCTAGCACAACATTGGAGGCCACGCCTGCCAGGGGGCGGGGGCGGGGAGGGGCAGGGCGGGGCCCCCACTGTGGCCCACCTGCCCCTGTGGCCCACCTATATTAAAATTAGAACAGTACAGAGGAGATTAGCATGGCCCCTGTGCAAGGATGACTAGCAAATTTGTGAAGCGTTCCCTGGAGCTTCCTTTCTAGTGACAGAGACAGATATGAAATAAGTTGATGGATGAACAGGCAATTTCAGGGCATTACCAGATCTGTAAAGCCAAAACGGTGAGAAGTGATTAGAGATGGTAGAAGCACTTTAAATAGTGTATGGTTAGGGAAGGTCTCTGTGGAAGTGACATTTGAGCTGAGACCCAAAAGATGGAAAAGGCCGGTAGAGGGCTTTCCATACAGCAGTATTGTAGTTATGTTATTACAGTTCATTGAATGTTTGCAAGTAGTCTAAAATCCACATTCAAAAACTCAGCACATACTTTGTGCACTGGATTGGGGAATTTAGCCCTAATAACAAGTCTACAACAATCCCCATTTTCATGTTTAGGAAAGTAAGGATCAGAGAGGTTAAGGAACTTGTCAAATATCATCTGCTCTAATAAGGAGTCCACATTACTCCAAAGCCTGCACCAGTTAGACTCAATGATTTATTGCCTGCAAATTAAATATCTGGAAAAGGAGTATTACAACTCCTTTCCCTCCTCTCAGGTCAGGGTTAGCCCAGGCTACTGGGCAGCAAAAGTTTCAAGAGCATGGGAAGGGAATAATAATAGCATCCAACAATTATGCCTTTATTAAGTGCAGAATACTGTGTTAAGCATTGGGTCTGTTTTGCCTTATTTAATTCTCAGAACAGCTGCAAGGAAGGTACTGTTATATCCCATAGTAGGTGGTATTGTGTAGATCTTACTGTTAAGGATTATATATCCCCACCTGTTGCTAGATGACTGCAGTGCATCCCATAAGAGTGTCCTTTTCAGCCTTACCGATGGGTGGATCATGTGACTTCCTCTAGCCAATGGAATGTGAACAGAAGTGCCTTTTGACACATTTGAGCAAAAGTATTAAGAGCCATTATATACATTCCTGCAAGCTTTCTTGATCTTTGTTTCCACTTTCATGAGAATAGCCTGTCCCAGATGGGGCTGCTTCCTCCCTCCTTCTGGGTCCTAGAAGGAAAAAGAGATGTGAAGCATCCCACATCTAGCGTCATATAAGTTCAAAATAAACCTTTGCTTTTAGGTACTACTGAGATCTGGGATTATTTATTACACAACTTTACCTAATGAAATCTGATTGATATGTACACCCATTTTACAGATGAAGGCTTTGAGCTTCAGGGAGCTTTAGTTACTTGCCACAAGGAGTAAGTTGTATCTCTGGGATTCCAACCTAGGTCAGTGTGACTCCAGAAACAATGGTCTTGACCATTGAAAGGGTGAGGATGAGAGTGAAGTAATGAATGCATGATAATGCCCAGTGAACTGAAATAGCATGGTAAGAGGCAGAAGTCAGATGACCTGAGTTTTTATTTGGCTGTCAATTAGTTGCAAATGAATCATCTCTCTGACTCTCAATTTTATCAGGGGGAAAAAAAAAGGCTGTGATGAAATAGAGTATAACTCGGTTCTGATCATGGTTCTCTAGTGCCCAGCTGTGCAAACCTGAGCCAACCACTCCACTCCCCAGGATTCATTTATGAAATGAAGATATTGAACTAGAATTAGGGATCACATGGTTGCAACTTCAATGAATTGTTTTTGTTTGGGCCACAGCACAATGTTTAATTTAAAAACAAAAATTCTCTCAGAGTGTGTTGGCGAGAGAGTAGAGAAATAGACATTCCTAGGTATTATTGGTAGAAATGTAAACTGATACAACCTCTAAGAAGGCAATTCCATTTTTAGGGAATTATCCTATAGAGACACTGACACAGATGCAAAATGACATATACAAAGTCATCAATCACAGAGTTGCTTATTAATAGCATATATTGGAAACAAGTTAACTGTTCATTAATTTGAAAATCTTGGTAGATTCATGCAACAGAATACTATAAACTGCTTAAAAAAAAAACAATAAAAACAGCCCTGGCTGGTGTGGCTCAGTGGATTGAGCTTCAGCCTGTGAACTGAAAGGCTGCCAGTTCGATTCCCAGTCAGGGCATATGCTTGGGGTATGGGCCAGACCCCCAGTTGGGGGTGTGTGAGAGGCAATTGATCGATGTATCTTTTGCATATTGCCCTCTCTTTCTCTCTCCCTTCCCCTCTCTCTAAAAATAAATTAATTAATTAATTAAATCTTAATAAAGAAAACAGAAGGTCTCATGTAGGAATAGGAAAAGAGCTCTACAGCCTTAACAATGTATATTTAATGGGGAAAAAACAAAGAAAAAAGTGGTGTTGATAATACGCTATCATTCATATACAAATATCTTTTCCGGGTAGAGTGTCTTCCTAGAGGGACACTTTCTTTGCAGGAGAACTTGGCTGGGCAGCGGAAGTGAGAGGGAGTTTATTCTTCTATTTTGCACGTGTCCCTTGAACTCTGTAGCAAGAGAAGCTACCATTTTTAAAAATAAGTAAACCAAATTTCTTTTTTTAAACTTTGAACACTCTAGGAGGTCAAATGCATTCCCCAGGTCTTCATAGCCCTTCCTCTCAGTGACCTGAGGCCCCTCCTCCATGTCACCTGCCCAGTCCCTGCAGGCAGGCCCTGGGGATTTTGTGATTCTCCTTAGAAAATTGCTGCGTTCCTTCAGCTCCTGGTTCTGTGATTCTACTTCCTTACTGAACAGATCTGAAGAATGAAATTGTGAGCCTCTCCGTGCATTCTTCTCTTCCAGCAGCAGGAGGCACTGAGTACTTAAAAGTGTGTGTGCGCCTGTATATTAGAACTGGGTTGACCAGTGGAACCAGTATTGCCGTGTCTGTTCGTTTCTAGAGCAAAGATTGTAATTTTCCCATGGTGCATGGGAATTTCATATTCCCATACCTGTTGGGAAGTCTCTTCAGATGTGTCAGGCCATTTCTGTGTTGTCTGAAAAGCTAAGTTGCTTGCAGAGATAAAGTCCCTTCGCCACTGATCCCCTGATGAAACTTTCTAGGACCCCTGTCCACCCCACACCCTCAGGTTGCCTTTGCCTTTGCTAAGAGCCTCCAACCAACATGTGACCAGTTACTCAACCCATGTTGGCAGCTGGGCTGGGTGGAGAATAGGTTTGGTGTTGTCCTGGAAACAGCCCAGGCTGGGTATCTGCAAAGAGCAGGTTGTGCCTTGCTTGGGCTTTCACGGACAGCTCCCTTTCTCTCTCGGGGCCTCAGTTTCCTGTCTGTTCAATGAGTAGTTTTTAAGGTGGTGGTGAATGATCGTTATGCTACAGAATTTTTTCTGCAGAGGAAATCCGTCCACACCCCACGTATAAAATAGATCACAGTGGAACAGCCCTGATGGAAGAGCGTGGATGAAGAGGGTGGGGACCGGGAGAGTGAGTGCAGAGCCCCACCCAGCAGATCCCCACCCCGTACCCAGAAGCTCCTGAGACATCTCAGAAGAACTCATTTAAAATGCCTTTGCACTGAGTATTGGTGTTCTTTAAGAGTTCCTTCCAAGGCCCTGGCCAGGGAGCTCAGTTGGTTATACAGTATTGTCCTGATACGCCAAGGTTGAGGGTTTGATCTTTGGTCAGGGTACATACAGGAAGCAACCAACGAATGCATAAATAAGTGGAACAAAAAATGGATGTATTTCTCTCTCCCTTCTTCTGTAACATCAATCAATCAAAAAAAAAAAAAAAACCCAACCCAAACTTGGAGTCATCAGCACATAATAAAACTGAAAACCACGTGACTGGATGAGTCAGCTAGGGAACCAATGGGGAGAGAGATAAGGACTGAGGTATTCTGGAAGCCACGTGAAGAAAGTATGTAAAAGAAGAGGAGGTGATCGACTGCATTAAATTCTGTGGAAGGGCATGATTCCCTATGTACGAAATGTCCAGAACAGGTAAATCCCTAGAGACAAAGAGCAGGTGGGTGGCTGCCAGGGGTTCGGGGGAGTGGGGAACAGTTAGTGACTGCTGGGTACAGGACTTTCTTTGGGACCATGAAACTGTCTCCGAACTTGATAGAAGTAGTGGGTACAGAACATTGGGAAGGGACTAAACACCACTGGATTGTACTTTTAAATGATTGATTTTGTGTTATGTGTATTTCACCCTAATTAAAAAAAATCCTATGAGAGATCAAGCATGAGACTGAGAAATGACTGGATTAGTAGTGTTGGGGTCACTGGTGGTCTGGACAAGAAATGTTGGGGATGCGTAGAGCAGATGCCCAAAGGGAATAAATCCAGGGAGGACTGGCCCCGGTTCTCACAGCAGATTCTGCCCCGCCCCCCCCACCCCGGCACCAAAGCAAGGGTCACACACTTTCTTTCTTCTGTCAACTCAGTTTGTTAACGTCAGGGCTGGCTTGGCTGCAGCAGATCACGTGTACTTTTTATACTTTCTTGCCAGCTTCTTCATGCATCGACATTTATGGTTTTTGTCCAGCTTTATACAATTTTTGCCAATTTTGTGGGTGTCTAGTGAGTGGTATCTCCTTGTGGTTTTTAATATGTAAACATATATATGTACATCTAGATATGTATGTATATAAATATGTTTCTTATAAGTATGTCAAATGGATATGTACACATAAAATACACTTAAATACATTTTGTTGTATTTTTAAGTTTTTTTCATTTTTAAAAAGATTTTATTTATTTATTTTTAGAGAGAGAAAGGAAGGGAGAAAGGGAGAGAAACATCAATG